AACGCCCTTGGGCATGACCGAGAATAGATGCGAAAAAGCCTCCGTTTTTCAAACTTTATGCCGCACCCCTGTGACAATACCAGATCTCCATTGGATGACTGTGAATATTCAGTTCGTTCCGTGTTTTAATTTGAAAGCGCGCCAGAGACCTTTTTTATACTTTTCCCGATGTATATGCATAACCTATTCATGAATCCTACCGTAATCAACGTTGAAAAAATAAGTTTGTTTGTTCTCTGGTGTGCTTGTACTAACCACATAGTGGAATAGAAAAGCGTTAATGGGCCATTCGAACCTTGGCTCTGAAGCGACTAAATGAACTCGTCACAAGGGAACTAATAACAGTTTTTAAACGAAAGTGTTTTTTAATAGCAAAAATTGAAGTTGTTAAATGAGGATAATAGTTTTTTTAATGGATACTCGAAACAAAATCGATTACAGTTTTATATTTAAATTGCATTCGTAAAGTTTACACCATGAACGCTCGTTTACCCCCCGATTGAATTTCGAATACGAAACGAGCTGCAAGTTAACAAAGGGATAAAACATTCCGAATATATTGCAATTACACGTGCTAACGTAAACGTTGGCGCTCGAAAACGGTTCGCGCCCGTTGCAAAAACGGCTCCGCTACGTCAACGCACAAAAAGTGGCGTTTCCATTAATCTCGCCGGCGGCATTCCGGCAACAACTTCCATCCGGACAACCGTTTGCACAAGTGGAAACCCCACCATCGTTTCGATGGTGCCGTATCAATCTTGCCCACTTTAATAGAACTGTCCCCGTATTAATCGACCGCTTTAAATACGATGTACACGCGCCATTCCGTTTGTTTGGCGCCCTTGTGCAGTTGACTAACCGCATCTGCAGCGATGCCATCGATTACACGCCCGGATCGGGAACCTCGTCCCTGTTGTTCGCCGGCCGCAGCCGCAAATTGTTAAGTGACTCTCACCGGAGCAGAAAATGGTGATATAGTCGAGCCAATGAGGGGGGATCCAGCTATCCGTGTAATACTACAACCCCATGTATGCATATTTGTAACATACTCTGCATACCGGGTGTTAAACTTAATTTAAACTATAAACCGAAATATTTTACTCCATCTCAAATTGTTTATAAAGATTTCAGGAATATTTGGGAAAATGAACTATGAAGATCATGACTGTACTTACACTGCGATTACTTTTATAAATTTTTTAATGCAATTTATTTCAGGCTTCTTTGCGTCAATTTAAAACGTGATTATTGGATGGTCTGCAACCACTTAAGTTTCTGTACAACTTTCATTAAAGAATGTATACCTCAATCAATTAATGAAATGAGTTTTTGTTTAATTGTTCGCAGTATTTTATTTCTTCATGGCCGCTTTCTTCTGCAATTCGTTAATAGCAATGATTATAGTCTTTTACTCCTCTAGGTTGGTGTGTTGCAAATGTATGACGAACTATGGAAGGTTTTAAGTATTACTGTGATATTATGTATTTAAGTGCTGTAATTTTAAGAGTATATCAGTTTCAAACTCTTCATTCTCGCCACCAGACTGTGGCGAGAATGGAAGGAGAGAAGTGTTACCAAAGAGATTCTTAGACAGGAATGTATGGGAAAAGACCAGTGGTGAGATCTCAAAATCAATGAGAACATGAAATACAGGAGGATGCACGTCAAGCACTGTTGCCAATTTCTACATTTCTACATGATCAATCACATAATTTACATGGAAGGATCTATCAAGATCGTTACACACTGTTCTCCTTTCTCTCTTCCCTCACTTCTGTTGTTGAATGCCTCAATCTGACATTACATTCCTTACTCTCCCGGTATCCACACCTTCTTACACCTGCTCTAATCTCCTTAAAACACTCTCTTCAAACGCTTGTTATCACACCTCTAAAACACCTCCCAAACTTTCTTCATAATTTGTTGCCTTTCTCACCGCATTAACATATTTTCTCCATCCTAAAACCCCATCAATCTTCCGAAATCTTCCGTCAATATCTCTCTCGAATGCCCTCCACCAACTTGTGCTTTTTCTAACTCCATATCTCCACCCCGTACATTTCCATACTTTTAACTACTGACTACTACCTAATCGTGAAACATTACTATCCTTTTCCTTTATTCTAACTTCTCCCGAATATTCTTTTAATGAATATTCCTCCAGTTCCATATCTTACCAAGTAATTTGTTCATCAATAATAGAGGAAAATAATGTTAAATATCTTGATTTTGACGGTCTTAGTGTGATCATAAGCATAATTTAAAATTGTGCTCTCTTGGAGACCTGAAAATAAAGATAACTTTATGCAATATTTATGCAGGAAAAGGTTTCTTAAAACGGGTTGTAGATTTTTAATAAGCAGCTTTTCCAGTTTTAAAAAGTATTTTATATATTAACAGTTATTAAAATTGCACCCGCTAGATGTCTGTTAGGCTTGCAAATCGTACAGAGTCAATTGGTGTACAGGATTTCTCCTAAACTAGAAACCGAATGATCAAATTTCGAGTACGATTACTTTTCTAATCTCAAAAACTAGGGAACTACGTAGGATTAAAAAAAAATATTCATTTTTTGATGAAATGTGCCATTTACAAGAAATGTCATATTTATTGATAAAAAACATGCATAAAAATGGTTGTAAAACACTGTCATGAGTCATGAGTCATGAATGAAATGAAAAAGTTTTGAAGTTGAAATGGAATAATTTATCTGTACTTTGAAGTACTGAATTTGTGAAAAAATAAATCAAAGATACCAATCGAAGGGGTATCGACTTAATTGATATGTAGTCATAACTAGATAATATTTTTAAATTTATATTAGTCTATGAAGACCACTCAATGCAATTTGTTCAATTTCGTGCTCTCAAAAAACGTGCTAACGAGCAAAAAACGTTGCACATCACCTAACTATTAATTATTTTTACTATGGCCATTAGTTCATCATCCGATTCGTAAAAAAAGCTTGTTCAATAAGGCATTTAATTAACATTCATCTTTGCAAAATCATGCTAACCGACACTCAGGTGGAACGTACTAATAAGGATATACAAAATAAATGGTCTGAAAGCTTGCGCTTTTTGTTACTTATTAAAAGACGGGACGTTTCATGAAGGTATCAAGTGAAATGGGGAAACAATGTTTAGAATGCATTTAAAAGTAGCATTCTCGAATGACTCTATCGAACATCTTAAAACCGACTTTAGACTTTAATTGAGGTAATTAATGTGAACGATCCATTGTAAAATGAACTTCTATCTGATGTTAATATAAAACCCAGCACGGAAAAAGCAACGGTCCCCGAATAGATATTTTAAGCAGGGAAGAATAAGGATGAAGATATAAAGTGATTAGCACTGCGTTTGTGGTTTCAAAAGTAAACCGTTATATAAATATCCTTCTGATAAAGTGGGTGAAATAGTGAAGTTAGGAGTATCAGATGTTGACACAGCAATAAGTCATCACTAAATTTATTAGCGATATTCAAATTGTATTTTTTATAACTGGACGATGTTACAGATTTAGTAGTATCGCTTTGAAAAAGTGATAGAAAATCATCTCTTTTTGAAAGTCAGCAATATTAACGTAATGTAAGAGATAAAGCAAGTCTTAGAAATATATTATGATTTTGCCACTAAAATTCTAGTGAATTTAAACCTTTAAATATATATATATATAAGTTTCTAGTAAAAAGAAGTAACAAGAATTTCTTGAAAACATGTTTTATGTTCTAGAATATGGGTTTTAAAAATAAATGTATTCTCTCTACTTAGGATTTACATTCAACAAGACATGTTACTTCCTTATTCAAATTTAATTCATGCTTGATCCACTAAATTAATAATCATATATAATAACGGTATTCTTGTTGGTGTATATATAATACTCAGTAATTAAACAAAATCGCCGGTTTATTACGTTTACCATAACATATTCACGGTAAGAAAGTTTTCTTACGCTGATATGAAAGCAATGTGTGGAAAGGAGGCAGAATATCTGAACACTAAGTACGACAAACTCGACCAGCTTTCTTCCTCAGACTTGCCAAATCGAAAATGAAAGATTTGGAATCGATTCCTACCTAGTTTAGGTACTCAAATGTTGATTTCCACTCGAAAATGACTTTTATACTTTTATAATTTGACACTATGAACTGTATTGAAATATTTATTATGCATTCAATATTTTTGGTTTTAAATGTTTTATATATTACCTTTGGTAAATTTTCAAATAAAGTGAATTAATTCACTATCTATAGACATATTTAACAAATGCCTCATTATGGTCCGTGTAAAGGGGAGAGTAAACAATAATAATAAACAATAATTGCCATTTAGCAATTTCCTATATATGCCCAATGAACTGTAAATAATTTTGAATCACTAGTCTTCTAAAACCTTTACCATACAAGCCACATTTGAATTTGTACGAGGAAATTTTAAGGTTCAGCAAGCTTTTTAATGTTTAATTCATAACAACAATAGTTCCTCTAATCTCTGAAAACATATAATCTCAATTTCTCTTCAATTGTAATATTAAATAATGTGTTCGTTGTTGTTTGAAAATTGATCACCCTGTATATTTAGATCGATTAGTATACGCGTCGCGCACCGATGCACCGTTAATTGCTTTGCGGCGACGCAACTCGTCCCGGTATCTGCACGCTTAATGGTCTAACGAGTTGTTTAAAACGCGATTAGGTACGTGCGTGGACGCCGTTTGTAGGTTTTGCGGTCAGCCCTTAATGCGATCATTAGGGCCTAGCTGTACTGCATGGATTGAAAATAAACGTCCACTCTATTTTTATTCCTCCCGCTTCACATGCCTTCATTAGCGCCGATAGTATCGTCTCATTACCATTGTGATCACCTCTTTTTAGTTATCTACGTGATTATTAACGGAATTCATCAACAATTCTATTGATTTTTAGCAATCTATGAACAAAATAAGATTCATTTTGTAGCTGAAAACATAAATCTTTTCCTTTCCCTCTTTTCTAGATTGCGGGTTGAGAAAGCTGGGGGTGGTTGGTGTCCAAAACAGCAGGTGGAAAGAGGGATTAGAGAGTACATCCAAGTAGACCTTGGGTCGGTTCACGTGGTAACCGGGGTCCAAACGCAGGGTCGTTACGATAGGGGTCGAGGTCAGGAGTACGCGGAAGAGTACACGGTGGAGTACTGGAGGCCGGAGTTTGGAGATCAGTGGAAAGAGTACAAACGTTGGGATGGAAAACAGGTATGTACGGTAGGCAAATCGCAACGTAAACACTTCCCTTTTGAACAGCCCCCGATTGCAGGTTAATTCGAATCGCGCTCTCGCTCGATTCCATTCTAAATACGCAAACGATGGCAAAATTCCAAGCTCAGGTAGAACCTACCTCCTGAACGAAGCCGATTCAACCGGGGGATAATATAAGGGGGATGGTAGAAGAATTCCAATGATTTCCCATTAATTTTGTTTGTGGGCGGGGATGGAAATCTGGAAAAATGGGGTAATTTATGATCCACGGCGAAAACTGTGGTAGGCGAAAATAGGTTAATCGATAAATCTGCAGATTTTATTATTAATTAAAGAAATGGACAGTACAATTTAGGAACAAAGAGTTTGTGCATAATAATGATATTTTCATGTCGCATTTACTAATTAACAGAGGAGAACGATGATTAAAGTACGTAATCCGTTTAGCATTACTCCATCAATGACCCGCGTTGTAACCTATTAGTGGAGTTTAACTAACGCGCATTACCCTTCACGAAACGAAAATTATTACTAATAATATAGCGTGTATATAATTAATGGTTACGTTTAGTTCATTCCCGAAAATACCATGTTTTAACAGGTTTATTTAAGATATAAACCTATGTTATTAGTCAATGATTAACAACCTGCTTAGTAGTTAATTCCCGTCAAAAATAAAACTGATTATCTTAATCTGTTAAGACTTTTCACCGTCTAAAATCACTAAAAATCATCAAATATTAACTCAACGAAAGTTCAAAGTCCGAAATCCGTAGTTTTCGAAAAAAAGATAATTGGATTGCGGACAGTTGCGGTAATCCTTAAACGAACCACCTGAATCGTAAGAAAGACCATGGTCCTGAGACGGTATTAGGGTCGGGGACGTGTGCGGCTTGGGGAATTGGTATAAAACTCATTTCTCGGTGAACGTAGAGTTTACAAAGAAACCACTGAATTTCCGCGATCTTTAATCTCGTCAGATTGTCCCCGACCGCAAACACAATACAAGTCGATGATATCTGTTAAACGCCACCCCCGTATTCTTTACTGACCTACCTTCGAAGCTGTTCTTGTGGAATTTCTCTTTTCCAAATTGTTCTTTTACTTTACTTTTGACATAAAAGAAAATCTTATTGTTTTCGCACAATACATTTTTATGGTGAAAACACTTACTAATTTACCATTGTAAATGGAATCATAAAAAATGTTATTTGCACATGTAGGAACCTAGCAAAACCAAACCCATTTGTTTCATAACCGTCACATGACAGGACGAACCGCATAGCGAATTGCAACGAGTTGCCACCGAAATTGTTCCCATCTGGTGTTCAGGTACTAATTAAAGCTCGCGAATCGTAGAATTTAGCGGCAATTATGCCCCGTTTTAATATTTCATCACCACGAATGATTGATAAATTTGCGTTAGTACGTTGACGCAATTTTTGGTTGCTCGATGACAAATCGGCTGCGACAAATCCTGAACTGTTACCGTCAATAATATGTATAGCATAAGCTTAAAATAGCATTTATTTCATTAATTAACGTAAACAAAATTGACATTGTTATCTACAGTGATACAATAAAGTCTACTTACACCCCAGAAAATGATAATATCTTAGCTCCTGAAATGTACTTCAATGAAATTTTTAAACGAAGGATATTAGAAGTTAATATTATTTTAATATATTACATAAAAATGTATAATTTATTATTTATAATGAAAAACACAAAACAATCATATTTATAACTCAAAAAAGTCTACTGAGCTATAACTGAGATATAGAGATAAGCGGACAACAATCCGACAACTACCGTGGTTGACATAGCCAAATTACTCGCGGCATCGAAATGTATAACCATAAATCCCGAAACAGTTCGACTTGTGCTACGAAGTGAAGAATATAGCAGTAGAGTTCCCAGAAAAAAGCCATTTATATCGGAAACGAATGCGAAAAAAACAGTCGATTTTGCTAAATTACATGAGCAAAAAGATACTGTCTGGCATACTGTTATATTTTCGGGTGAAAGGAAATTCAATATTTTCGGTTATGGTGGTACAACAAAAGTATGGACAAAGAAAAACAAAGAGATGAATAAGGTATATACGTGATGGTATGGGGTTGCATGTCAGGGTCTGGTGTAGGAAATTTAGAGTTTATTAAAGACAATAATGGACCGCCATGTATATCTAAACATATTGCGAACTAATTTAAAAAAATCGGTCAATAAATTAGACAATAATGATCCCAAGCAGACAGCATATTATACATATTAATTTTAGTATGTAAATTTCGACTAGTTTTGATTGTTAATGATATAGTATGTATAAAAGTAACCTACTCTATGTAGACATTTTTGAGTTAAAGATATAAATATGTTCTGTGTTCTCCATGATTAATAATAATTTATATAGTTTTTACGTAAAATATGGAAATAATATAGACTTCTTGCATCTTTTGTTAAAAAATTTCATTGAATTACATTTCAGAAGCTTAGATGTTATCATTTTGTGGGGTGTACGTAGACTTTATTGTATTACTGTATATTCGTGTCGACGAATTGTGTGCTTTTCAATGTCAACTCGTTTGCATTTAAATAAGAAAAAACTATAAAGGTGCGGCTAGAAGCGCACATCGCGTCATTAGGGATGATTGGATTTTTTTAGTTGTACTACCGGCAGACAGGTCGAAGTTAATAAACTCTGGGACCACTATGCATATTGCCTTTTAACACGTTAAACGTTTACGATTTGCAGTCATTATTCCACGTCGCCAAGCCGCAAAGGGCGTGCGTGTATCGGGAAAACCTGGCAGCCATCAAGATCAGTTTTTGTTGCAGCCTCGTTCCCGTGCCCCGCGACATTAAATTTAATAAAGACTATAAAATACGTCCGGGACTGATTTATGTCGCGTAGTATTTGTGCTCACGTTATCGCGCTGAAACACGTCAACCGGACATGCGACTCACTCGTTGAATGACTAATTCTGATATAAGATACATTGAAAAGTGTAAAAGGTTCTATTAAAATCAATACATAGTTACAAAAATTGTATTATATATTAATCATATTTTCTATTAAGAACATTAAATCAAATAAATTCATTCTAAAACAAAGTAGTTGTCTTAAAGATAAAGCCATCATCTGGTGTACTTGTAGAATCATCGCAACACATTCGCCAAAATTAAAAAATTAGATATGTCAAAGAGTTCTAAAATTAATTAGTAGACACTCTATAACATCTAATATGTCTAATATGATGCAATAAAATTACGAGCGCGCTGTAGCTACACCCCTGGGGAAGGCGATGACAAGATGCAACACGTACACATCGGCTGTGTAGGAGTGCTCGTTGTTGCAATAAATTCGCAATAAGTGCGCCCTTGAAGTTCTACTATATTTACATTATTAGCTGGTGGAGATGTTCTGATACTCCACTACAGTTATTAATTACACTTTTTAAAATGAGCATGATATTACTTATTCGGAATTACCTATTCAAGGCTCACGAATACGTCAAGTTATTTGCGTGAGCTTCGAGGATTAAACTTGAGTATTAAAGAGGAGTAGATCAGTTATATCTATACACCATTCGCGAAATACAGAAGAAAACGAGAAGTATGCAGATCGGTGAACCTTGCCATATCTTTTACTCACAATTATTTAAAACGTAGCTAGTCAACTGAATTTAAGGACAAAACAATTATTTTTATACACAAGAGAATACGAAAAACAGAATAAGAAAATAGTGCCTATGCGGAGTTAGCCCCCATTTTACTAGCCCACAATTAGATACGATTTTACAGGTATAGTCTTTTGATTATAACAAGAGAACCGCTAAACCAATTTTGATAAACAATTTCTCATTCGAAAGATGAATCCTTAGCCAATAAAAGTGGAATAGACCCGATTTTTGGCGCTACAACGCCAAAATATTGCGAATATACACGAAAATTACAAAAAAACGACCTTCTTTAAGTAATCATAACTCGTAAACGATGTACTCGATTATCAAGATCTATACGTCAATCGACTCGTCATAGTTTTTTCTATTGAAATCACAAAAGCCCGATCTCGATTCTTTACCGTTAACCTTGTACAGCCCTCGGAATGACACCGTGTTCGGCTGGTTGTTTATGCCCCCAATAACAAAAAATTAATTTGTATTAAATTGATTATAACTAGAGAACGGTTTGACGGGTTTTAAAGTTTTATATCTCAGTCGAAAACTTGCGGTTAGCTAAATGCAGTTGTTGAAATGCCCAATTCGACATATTTAAGCATTTTGATTAAAACACAAAAAACTGACTAATCAAACACATCAACTATCTCCTTAATTAATTGATCAATTTTAGTCATCAACGTCTCGATCGAAAGTATGATCCACAATAAATGTAAAGGCGAAAATGCCCGATCTGAAAATTTACTAATTACCCACGAACGGTTATTTAAATGCCTCCACGTATCTACTGACTGGAAGTCTAGCCCCCAATAAGAAAAAATTAATTTTGATTAAATTCGCTATAACTAAAAAACTGTTTGACCGATTTTAATGTTATATAACTCTGGCTGAATGTAGAAGTTATAAACGTTAAATTAGCATGGCGTATACACGCATAACATTGTAGTACATGAAACTGTAAGTGCATTTTTCTCGAAACATCCTTTTTACATCTGGTTAACACGATTCCTAAGAAACTACTCATTCGATTAACTTGAAATTTGAACTGAACTTTCAAATAGCATCTTTCTATCGTATGACCCACAGTTTTTTTGTAATAAACTTATCAATTTCAAGAATAAAATCGATTATTTAATTTGACTGGGCGCCATTTTGCCAATAATGTTTTTTTGCTTAGTTCTATTAGTTCAAACGATAATCACAAGTATATAGAAAAGAACATCATTTGATTTTTGAGAGTCAAATCATTTCAAGGATAGATATTGTGTCAACCAGCAACTTACACAATCCACGCACCAATTTGGGGAACAATGTAAAGATTATTTTCTATAAACAATTCTTTTTAAATAAGTAAATATATCATGAAAAATTTCCAAAGAAATCATTTTATTTGATACAAAAAAAGAGACTCCCCCTTAAAAAACTTGAATTAGATTATACTAGTATTATTTGGACTGGTTTACACTCAATTTCAAATTATTTCATGTTTTGACAATGTTAATAATTAAAGCTTTATAATTTTTCGAGCACAAAATGCAAAAATTTATTGAATGGTACCGTTTTTCAAGAACAAGTTCTTCCAATGAGTAGCGTTCAAACGGTTTTTATTACACCGTTCAAATCGCGAATTATGCCGATATGTTTTGGTAAATTAATAAAATTGAAAACGACTCACCGAATGGATGTTGTTCCCCTTGGATTTTATTTCGAAGCTCAGCTGGCAAGAAAAAATGAATTAATTTATTGTGACAAAAAAAATGAATTAATACGATACCTTTTAACATCCATAAAATAGCAATCCGATGATCTCAACATCGCTAATATCACTTAACACTTAGCATAATTATAGCACGTATTTATCACTTAATTCAAGTAATAAGTTTTACTTTTCTAAACTACTTTGTCACCCTTAAATGCCCGCACATCAACTAAAATGCGTTATTAGCGACTCAAGTTCCAAACATCCCCTCCTTAATTTATTATGTGAAGAAGGAATACTGGAGGTGAATAAACAAAAAATGTAAAGGGGACGGGCCGAAGCGGTTTTAAATCGTTTTTTGATTTAAAACTCAACCTTTCAATAAAAAAATTACTCGTTTTCTCGAAACATTTCAAATAAAACTTACGTCATTTTACTAAAATAAAACGCACTAATCGAATTTCAATGTTTAACACTTCCTGCAAAAGATTCAGATGCCCAACAAATAATTAAAACGAAGCAGCCAAGACGTTGGATTATGCATCATCCCTTATTTTTTGTGTCATGAAATATAAATTTGAAAAAAATCGTATCTCAAGAACATTTTAAACAATTACTATAATAACTACTATAAACTACTTACTATTTCATGACGATATTTATTTATTTATTTATTTATTTATTGATATCGGGGAGCAACAACAGGACAAACCCAATAAAGTTGCTCCACATAATTATTATATGTGAAAACCTTAAAGTAATATTTAATATGATTACAAATATGTTGTTATCTTAAATTAACATTATTAACATTATTAAATATTTAAATTACACATATCTCCAATAGTTTTCGAGATATGATTTTTTAAAATAGATTACTACAAGATAATCTTCTCAACTGTCTAGAGTTAAATTTAAAAAATTGTTACAGCTACATTTTTAAGAACAAACGAATAATTTTTGGTTTGTTGAATCTTTATAACGATATCTCAATTAAATTTTGAGATATCACTTTGTAAAAGTCATTCTTTTTGAATTTGGCTTCAAAAATTAGATATACAGATTCGTATTCAAAAAATCATAACATCGACATATGTAAGAGTCAGGAAATGTTTTTTTTACACAATAATTCTTAATTAAAATTGCTTCAAATTCCTTACTATTTCATGATGATATCTCAAACAGTTCATAAGATATGATATTTTTAATATCGATAATGTAATCGTCTTCACTATGTAGAGTACGATTTAAAACAATGTTACTATTAAATTTATAAAAACCAAACAATAATTTTTGGACGATGGTATCCTTATTAGATTAGCTTCAGAACGTTTCTTATTTTATCCTGATATTTCAATTAGTTCTTGAGCTATAATCTTTTGAATTCATTCTTTTTAAACCTAGCTTCTATTCACTCATTATGATGATATCTCAAATATTTTGATATACCAGAAGATAATCGAATAGGATTGGTATAAAGATGTTTACTTACAGAAACATCAGCATGTGTAATCTTACAACCTGAATTACAAAAACCGTAAGAGAACCTGAAAAGTTCTAACAAATTATTTGGGTGGAATACCATCTATAAATATATTTAGTTTTTTAACTTTTTTCTATTAATACTTCTTGCATACCGGTAATTCATAATAAAATTGTCTCTTTAAGATTAAGTAATTGATATTCCACTCTATTATAAGGGGGAGAATTGCAAAACTTATTGTCACTATCATTTCCAATCTGGCATCGATTTTGTTATCAAATAACCAAATCAGGTCAATACGATGTGACGGTCGAACGCCAATGTATCCGCAAACAGTCCCCCACAAAATTGATTCCGCTTATTGAGGGACGGATGGCGGTCAGATTTTTATTAGAGCGGTGATAATAAAAATTCAATCGCTGGCAACATAATCGGCTTTATTGCTGGACCGAAACCCTCGTGTATTCGGCAATAAAGACCTATCTCTGATTCCATTATAACCATTTTTAACGTTTCATCACGCCCCACAATAAGATAATAGTATTGATCACAATCTGAATACTGAAGGTTCAATCAAAAATTCCCCACGACAAAAAAAAATCCTTTCACTGCCTGATTAGTTCCAACTGTCGAAAAGAAAAGGGACAAAGAACGAGTTCTTCAGCGCGGCGAAACTGTAACAGTTAATTTTTCATTTCTGACATGGGCGAAAAGTTTTGGTCGCGACTGAAAGCGAGTCTTAATGATGCCCGTGAAAAGGTTGTTTGCATTTACGTGACCGAAATTCAAAGCAAGACCGAATAGCACCGAAGGGGATGAGGGACGTAGAAAAATGTCCACTCGGGAAGCGTAAAACAGGAAGGAAAACAATTACTCAAAAGAAACCATCCGCGGAATGTAGCCTGGGATTCGTTTAAATGCATAAAGTGCCCCTTCGGGCGCGAGCTCGGGCATGTTAAATATTCCCCTCATTTATCTGTCGCCCTCTCAATGCTACTACCTCAGACGTGTGTTTGCCCTTCCCTTCAAACCGGCCCATTGTTTCCACGTACGAGTAAATTCCACTAACATGAGAGGAAGATATTTGTTCTCTTGACGTTTGTTCTGGTATCCACTTGATAATATAAAAGACCTGCATGTTAAAATTTTCTCCCTGTAAAATTTTATTGAAATTTCTTCACTTCTTAAATAATAAAATAAAATTTTATAACCGATCAAATCATTTATCTGAGTAATTAGAGTACTAATAAGCACTCGGTGTAAATTTCATCCGTTACAGAAATTAATATTCCAGCGAACTGTTGATAACAATAGCTCGGAAGCGTTTCCAAACTAAACAAGGGCTAATTAACTAATTAACAGCAAACGAAGTGTACGCGAATTGCCTACCGATAACCGGTCCATCAGATAAGGTTGCTATTGTTGGAACCTATTTAGCTACTACCAATTGAATCAACTCCATTGTAAATCGGTTGCCAAATAGTGAGCTCTCCGGTCGGCAAAAACGAAATATCCCTCCTTAACACAATAACCCCGGCCATCGATCATCCCGAATGCATAAACGGAGAGGATCCGATACGGGCCTAATGAAGGAAATTCGATTATTAACTTAGCACAATGAGATAAACGCGGTAAATGACCCGAATTTCTTTCGTCGCATTGCGACCAAGAGAAGTTTATGTTTCCAGTCACGTTTCGAAAACTTTATCTTTCTGGACGTTTTGTATAACTTTAAAGTTTTTAAGCATAACTAAATATACAACAACACTGTGTTGTGCTATTTAGTTCTGAAAAAAAATTAAGATCATTTATTTTCTTTGCAGATTCTTCGTGGTAACAGTGATACGGCATCGGTAGAAAGTCACAAATTGATGCCTCCCGTATTCGCAAGTCGTGTAAGAGTTCTCCCTTACAGCGTTCACCGTAGAACGGTTTGTCTACGTCTTGAACTCTTAGGCTGCTTCTATGAAGGTAAGTAGCTGGTGCTCTTTATCTCCCTTTCCATCTCTCATGAACTATTCATGGTCTGTCACTCAATGTGCAACGGTCTCGCAATTAATTATGGAACAACCTACGCGCCGTACTCTTCGTCAAAACGTAATCTAGCATGGCAGCGTCGATTCTGGTCCAAGAGACGTTGCCTTTCTCCTCCAGTGTTGTGCACGTGACGTTGATTAATTTCCGGAAACCGAAAGGGGTTGCGCCTATGTATGGGTTTACTGAAAACTTTTTGATGCTACAAAGAATCGCTGCAATAATTTACGTACCTATAAAGTGGGGAAGTTCGAGTATAGGTGTCGTCTCCGTTGAGAGGAGGGACGGTTTTATTAAAAACTTTTAATCAGCAGTCTCCCGTGCGATCGTCCGGGCAGAAAGTAAAGTAGAGGAATGCTTATGAGCGAATACCTTTGTTCGGGGAGTTTATAAAGTATTTATCGACGTCGTGAAATACGGGCGAATATTTATATTTCTTTTTTTTTTGCGGAGAAAGACCTTTTGACAGGAAAAGAGGAGAAGTTTCTTTTATACTTCTTTTTTTTTCAAATAAGAAGGATTTAAGTCCTCAAAAGATATTGGATACAGTTAATATTATATAAAACCTCCAGGAAATGCGAAACACATTTTCGTAATATCCAGTTTGAAATACTAAATTTCGCTTTAGTGTATTTACAATTTGTGATACGAGGTTTAAACATAAAAAAACGTGTAGCTACGAGTAAATAGCTGGAGTAATCGGGTGTTTGCAAAGCTAAAAGCCGACTAACTGCCCAGCAGGTGACCTGAAAACCGACATCAGCTCCGGACTTATCGAACGGTCACAAATTGCGCGCCGTTTTGCTGTAAAGATTAAAAACCGCGCTCAGTTTTATGAACGGAAATTAAATGTTTTACGAGATTGTTAAACGCGAGACATAAAATACCCATGTCCATTTCTAAAGCTTTAACTTTCATTACGTTTTAAATGCCATCCCATATATGTAAGTTTACTACAGTTAAACCTCAATATAACGGACTAATATGATAAAGGAAGTGTCCGTTATATGAAAAATTTTTAATTTGCACTTTAAACGTGAGAACGTCTGAACCCAAAACTTTCTAGTTCTAGGTCTAGTGTTAGTTCTGCTTTTAGTTCAATAAAAATATACCACAATCTAGTGCTGAATAACAATTAAAACTAGAACTAACACTAGCATTAGAACTAACACTGGACCTAGAACTAGAAACATCCGGGTTTAGCCGTGCGTTTCTTAATAATAATAATTTGTTTCCAAAAAACTCAAAAGTTACAGGTCGTCAGATAGAGTAATTGTATTTCATTATGTAATTCACAACAATATAGAAAATATAATGATACAGAATATATGACCATATTTCTACAGCATCAGTTTGCCCGGCGAATCCATGAACTCGCTGATACGTAGTATGGCTTTTCACCAAAGTGCTCCCTAAATCTCTTTTTGTAATGGAGCATTGATGTAGTTATATCTATAAGTTTGTTATAAAATTTTACGCCCTGGTAATATACCGATTGTTGACAGGTACTGTAGTACCTCGTACTGTATTGATGATATTGCGCTCTACACCACACATCATTCATGTTTTGTTTTTTGAAAATAAAACATCTATAGATATACAGCGAATAGACAGTCATTATTTTTAATTCCTTAAACTATGGCTCTGACTGCTCTTTTTTGTATTATAAATATTCGTTCAGCTCCTGGGAAACTTCCCCAGAACAACACTCTATAAGACATAATGCTTTGGAAATTCGAGTAATATACAACCATTGCTGTGTGTCAATCTGTCAATCTCTTCAATTTTTTTAGCTGGAAAACTACTGAACAGAATTTCTTTCCAACTTCATGTATCTGTGCATTCCATTTCAGAGAAATCTCTAGAAGTACTCCCAGTAGATTAGCAGTTGTTGCATCAGTGCATTTAGTGTGAAACTCAATCCTTTGTGTTTTATCTCATTCTGTTGCAATCTATTAGCTTTAAACCAGACTAAAAACTTCATCTTCTTTTAGGTTATTATAGGAAATCGCTTCGTTAATCATCTGCAAACATTATAGTACTGCATATTTTCAAGGATTCTGAGAGATCATTAACATACAGCAAGAAAAAAATTGGTCCCAAGATGGATCCCTGCGGTACACCAATCCCAACCTTTTTAATAGTAGACTTGCAATTACCGTTTTGTACCAGTTGTCCTCGGTTTGTCAAGTAAGATTTAAACATTGAAATCGTCGGGTGCCTTATACCGCACTGGTTTAATTTATTAAACAATATTACATGATTTACGCAATGAAACGCCTTTGTTAGGTCCAGAATCTGTACCGAGACTTTTTTTGACTCGTTGAAACCGTTGATAACATCAACTGTTGGTCTTTACTAAACACATCTTTTCTTTATATAAATACGACAGAAGGCGTGATTTTAGCAAATACTCAAATATCTTTGACATAATTGGCAAGATGGTTGTTAGTCAAAAATTGTTCGGATTATCCGGAACTACTTTTCTTATGGATAGGAGTTACTCTTGCAATCTTTAACTCGTTGGGGAAAATAAATTGTTCAAAACATTTGTTGAATACTGTATTTAATGGTTTACTATTAGTTAGTTGCATTATAGTGTTGAACATCGCTGTCTCATTTGTAGGAAACAGTACAAAGGAACTAACATTATATTTAACACAATTCATGGTATCGCTCGGGCTGCAAAGGCTAGTTCCTATCGTTGAAGCAATTTATGTTGGTTTATTCTTAAAGAAGTTGTTCAGTGTTTCAGGGTCTATGTTAGTTTTGATGCTGCGTTTGGATTTTATTCTTAAGTTGTTGTTAATTACTTGCTAAACAGCTTTTGACCTATTCCTCGCTCTCAGAATGTAGTCACCATTGTAGATTTGCTCTGCCTTTTTCAATTCATGTCTATATTTTCTCTTGTGCTTTTGATATATTTCACATGATTCTGTTGTTTTTGTTGTTTTAGCAATTATATCTAGTACATCTAGTTCTTTTCTCATAGTTCTTAAATATTCATTGCTTAAGACGTTCTACTTTTAGTTCAATAAAAGTATACAACAATCTCGCACTGAATAACAATTAAAACTAGAACGTCCTTGATTTATACATCGTATAGACAACTCGGGGAATATTCCGTGTTTATCTATGAACATGGAATAAAGCAACTTGGGGAATAACCCGTATTGGATGCTATCTACGAGCGCTAACATTTATATTTATATATACTAATGTATTAAATAGATAATATTAATAGTATGACTTAAAATACGCGTAACATCCGTTATATAGAAGTTTTCCTGTATTAAAAAGAGGATAAAAAATACATAGATGCCTAATAGGTTAAAAATTTAAAGCGCCATCGAAAAGTTGGTTTCGAATGAGGTAATTTAAGTCGTGAAACTTGACGAAGCTCAATCGAAGCGGAAGCGTAAGCTCCGAGCTCAATAGAGGGGGTTAATCCGAATCATTTTGTCACTTGAAAAGGCAATCGGGCTCGCTGACGTATGGGAAATCCAATTAAGCGTGCAGATCGAGGCCATTAACGGGACCCAAGTACTTGTCTGAGAGCAGGCCCTCGGAGGTTCGAAGTGCTGCATGTGCGTAGCCCCAAATCTATATTCACGGGATCTAGGCAATAACTCACTTTTATGATATGGCGTGGTGGTGCCGGCCTCGGGCTTGAGACGACAGCTGGCTTTCACCGTTATGTCTTATTTCACCGGGGCTCTGATTTATTCCACGCCCTTAGCGCCCTCCACCAATTTAATTAACCTTTCTTCACGGTTAATGTACATAGTTCATCTTTCACTTATTACACCAACTTAGATTTTGGGTGAATTAAGATTTTTGTTTGAAAATAATGTAAAATAATTTTGTTGTAAAAGAACTGAAAGAACCAATCTAGGAACTCTATCATTTCCGCTACCTATCGCTCGGTCGAGTACTAACAGTTTTTGGTAATGGTCAATTTCACGGTAGATTAGAGCGAGGTTCTCCTTTTTGGCATGCTCGTCATCAATTCGGAGAACGTCAGAAGTGCAGCAATGGACGACGAACGAAAGCCAACTCCTTCGTCGGTTCGCCCGACGAAATATAATAAACGGCCATAAATTTCTATTTTCTTCTTTCGTGGCGCCTCACGTCACGCTTCAGCACATGGACCGGGCCAATATAATGGCGCGGATGGGGTCTTGGCCCCAATGTGATTTATCAATACACATTCCGTGCTCGGTCGGTACTGCACCGAAACCTTCGATTCGGACAAAAAGAAGAACTCCGTTTTCGTATCGATTCCGAGTACCTACTTCATTCTAAACGTTCAAACGCGATCGTCTATAAATCACTATTTTTAAAGTAATAATCAAAAAATTCTAGACGTTATCTCGATTCGAATCTTCTGGCACCTCCGCCATTATTTAAATCTTCCCCTAGACCCTATCTCGTACCCTAAACCCACAGAACAACAATTTGTTTTGTCTTCCTTTTTACTAATTCAACTCAATTTCAGGTGGAGTTGTATCCTACGATGCTCCAGAGGGTTCAGAGCCGACATTGGGTCTCTGGGATGGTTCATACGATGGAGAGAAATCCCAGGGCGAGTTACAGAACGGTTTGGGACGTCTAGTGGACGGAGAAACCGGAGCGGATAACTTCCGTTTAGATATCGGATACGGAAAGGGTAACGGACCCGATAACTTATACATTAATGCACATAACGTGTAACCTACGTCCGCGGTTATACAATGGCCAATTCGTGTCCGCAGGTAACGGATGGCTCGGTTGGAAGAATGACTCGTTCGCGGACGGCTACGTCGAGCTACTGTTTCGATTCGACGAGGTCCGAAACTTCACGGCGGTCCACTTGTTCACGAACAACTTGTACAGCAGGAACGTGCAGGTTTGTAATGTATGGATTCGGTTAGGGCTTAGTGGAGAATCGTGTTTACCAAACCGACTAACATATTTTATAAATTGTATTCAAACTTGTTTTAAAATAGTTTTTTTATCGAAATTGTACAATTCCGCCATAACCAATTTCCGGTTGCACCTTATTACACGATTGCCTTCGATATAGAGCGCATGCAAACTATTTCACGTGTAGTAAGCGAAATGTAAACCGATGGAACAACTTGGAAAGTACTGTTTATCCAGGGGAGCTCGACGGGCTCTGTTCGCAAACAATCATCCGTTGAGACCACTAGCGCAAAAAGACGTTGCAAGCTCTCTCTGTTTGCGAAACAACCCGAACAACGGTTGGTTATTGAAACGCCACCACCGGAAGCTCGTGTTCTTACACGAGAAGCTTAGAAAACGAACATCTGACGTCGTAGCTCGTCCCAGTTTCGATCCTTTAATTCCAATCCACATCCCGGATATCGTCATCGGCAAAATTGCCCGTATCGGAGGCAAAAAACGACTCAAACAACGTTATATTATCACGCTCCTACTCGTAAAGCTGTACAAGAAACTGAAATGAGGACACCCAAAGCATGTCATATTTACGTTCCTACCGTGATAATGTAACGCGGAGCCGGTGCAAGTCGTAAATTTCAAAAGCGGTATGCCATTTAGTCGGTTTATAATTTAGAACCAGGTATATAGGACACCTGTTTTGTATAAACATAATTAAAATAATACTATATATTAACCCATACAAAATTTTATGATGATGTAATTTCAAATAAGTGAATACTTTGGTAAGTAAATTTTGAAATTGAATTGTAACAAAGAAATTGAATTTGAAATAGTATTCAATCTTCGCGTGCAAACGTTACGACCGTTTAACGCCAATACATTTTCCGCCTGGTGGTGCGCTTCTTTCGCGAACAGTGAGAATAAAAATTTGTTGCCGTTTCAACACATGTAGTACGATTCCATGACAAACACACTTTTCGCTTCGATAAGGACGCGAGCCGGTATAAATCGGCGATAAAGCATGCGATCCGCGCACTACGGAGACGTCGCGGTCGCCGTCGTTTGAAAAAGGGAACCAAAATAATAAAAATAAAGGCCCGAAATTTTTTATGTTTTTATAGGTTTTTTCCAAGGCGAAAGTTATGTTCAGCGTTGGTGGTAAATTTTACAACGGCCACACGTTGTCATATACGTACACACCGGACCGTGTTCTCGATCATGCAAGAAACGTCTCGATTAACCTTCACCATCGGATCGGACGCCATGTAAAACTTCGACTATATTTTGCCGATCGATGGATTATGCTTAGCGAAGTCGTTTTTGAATCAGGTAACAAAAATTACATAAATCTTCCAAAAGCGTTGACAAGTTAAAAAAGTGTATACTCCACGGTGTTCCTGAAAATGTTCACACAATTTACGTTGTCCCTTCCCCTTTTTCAATGCTTTGTTCCCATATCTTGGACTCGCACCTTTCCTGTAACCGTGTAAACCTTATCTCAACCGTTCCCGCTTCACATCCGCCAGTCGCGGACTATTTGTTCAACTTAGTATGAAAATGGAGAAAAAATACGTTGGGCCCTATCGTTTTAAAAGCACGGCCGTTTTACTAGGGATTTAGGTCACACTGATTAAATATGCAATATTCATTTAACATAGTCAGACAAGTGTAAAGTACGGAGATATTTGAAATGAATTCAAATTAAAGCTGGAAAATAGTAAGTTGATTAGATTTTGAATGATTAACATATTTATAATATAATAAATGAAAAATTCGACAGGATTTCAATTATTTCTTTTACTGATCTTAAGATATAATTACTATTATTTAATTAAATAAATATTATAAATATGGAAAACAAGTAAATGTATTACTTGTTATGATTATATTAACGAAGTATAGTAAAATAAGAAATAAAAATCAAAAAAAAGTTTGTATACCGTGTAAAATCCGTTCTGAAAGATTTCCAATCCATCATGTGTAGATGACATTATTTTCTTGATGTCGACGCAAAGTCAGTTACCGAAGATCCTAATGGAACCCTCCCCATATTTTCATGAACATACTATATCTTGCATACGTTTAGATTAGAATGCAGCATATGAAATTTCAGAAATATTTACAACCCATAAGCTTAAACCTATAAATTTCATTACAGTTTATATTTCCAAGCAGTTTTGCAAGCATCTTGGTTTCAATGCGCAATATGTTACCGTGATGGACTTTATTGTAGTAATAATATTACCAATGAAAGCTACCACGATTATAATCATTCATGCTTATGATTAAACGTAACGTGGTCAGTACCACCAATACAGAAAATCAATGACATAAAACATGATATAAGAGGATATTACCACTGTCGTCATCAAAATTAAAATATATAGTGTGTTTGTTAATTAATTTCCAAATGGCTAAAAATGAAAAAGATATATTAGTAAACCATTCAATTGTTTAATTGCTACTAAAGACAAATTAATACAAATAATGATTAAAATAAAAAGAATATTTTACGGTTCACGGTCGAACTCCGGGAGAAAACCCTTAAAACTTAATGGAAGTGAGCAAGCTTGCTATCCCAAAAGCAAGCTACTTTATCCATTTACTTTGGAAAGCAGTGGAATTCTCAGAATAGTAATTTAACAGTTTTTTTAAGGTTTTTGAGACGATCACAGCGTTTTCATAGTTTTTTCATTCTGGCTTATACACCCAGGGAATGGAAAAACCACCATCATTACAATGTAGGTTTATATCTAGGTGTTTCAGCACTTATATTTCTTGTTTCTCTAAAAAGTTTCATAATTGAGTATACATCTTACAAAAATTAATAATTATTGTTTTATTAGGATGCATAGGAAAATTAGTTTCAAACATAAACAAACTTGGTTCTGGCACCAAGAACAACGAATAAAGTAATAAAGGAGAAAGTGTCACATTTTGAGCAACGATCAAGATATGGCGAATCGTGATTTGAAAGCGTACAACTAGGCTTCGCATCGTTGTTCTATGTCTTCATTAAAGAGTAAAATCTACCCCATACAAATAAATGAACAGATTTTTTGCAAGCTGCTTAGCGGTTTAAAAATTGTAATTATTTAGTAGTGTTATAGTATTGTAAAATTTGTGATTTTCCATTAAACACCATCATTTTCTTTAAGAATAAGCTTGTTGTCTGTTCCTTCCGACGTAAAATGTAAATGATTGCTATAATCTAGAAGCCATATGTCTATTAGTAAATAAGTAGCTATTACGAAGCTCCAATTAATCATCAAAAGCAACATCTTTACGTTTTCAAAGAAGAATAGATATTTACTGTGCTTATTGTTCGTTTATTATTAACAACAGTAATAGAATATAGAAAATAACAAGCAAAAATAATTAAAGAGTAGTGTAAATTAGCTATATTTGAGTTAGCGTATTAACATGTTTATGTTTTGGCTTGGTGTAGACGGGATGGATATGGTTTGATATTGGTAGATTTAGGTTGGGTCTGGGTAGAATGTGACAGGGTTGGATTTGATTTAGTTTTGGATCTGTTTAATTTAGGACTGGCTTAGATGTAGGTGAGTTGAGCTTAGGTTCATCTGATTTATCTTATGATTTACCTTATGGATGTGATGATTTGGTTGTAGACAGTTTGGGTTGGGACTAGTTTGTGTGTGAGTAGGTTGGGTTTGGTTTGATTATAGATCATACGGATTCAGCTTGGTGTGCGTGATTTAAGTGTGGTTGAGTTGGATATGGCTTGGGTTGGGCATGGTAGAATTAGAATTTACGGGTATTATGTTGTTTGAAAATCTGCGAACAGCTATAATTTAAATCTTCAATCCTAATTATATTACACGAAGATATATGAGGTGAATAGAAAGAAGATGAAGGAAAGAACTAGACATTAATAGTTGCTAGAATAAACTCATAATTATTAAGAAGTTACTAGAAAATACATAGGAAATATCAAGCAAAAATAACATAGAACTACACCATAGTATAGCATAAGCAATACAAAATTAAGGTGCAAAAAGGTTTAAAGGATATTAAAATAGTGCAGAAAACACGAATCTGGCGACAGTACAAAAATAAATCAAGAACCTTGTTGTAGAGATCAGCAGATTTTGTAAGGATGAAGTATGATGTTAAAAATTAAACAATATGATTACTAAAAACTAGAAAGAAGACAAAAATATTTTATATTTATAAGTGGGGAGGTAACGGGCATTAAAAATTAATGAAAAGATGAAGAACATATTCTAAATGATCGCAGTCCGCAGTCAGAATGAAATAAAATAGAAATATAAAACAGAATGTTTGTTAGAAGAGAAACCATTTTTAAAAGAAGGAGGATTATATCAAAAATGAGGCAAATAATTTATAGAACTAAGGCAGAAATATGACAAAATGAAGTTACTACAAAGAGTAGGCAGAAATATGACAGGGACATATTAACACAAGTCAGAAGTAAGATAAATCTAAGACAGAATTACGGAACTTCCTAAAAAGAAGACCGACAAAGTATATAGATGAAAATAATTTTTCTATACTTTTTCAATGTTATATTTATTTAAATTCTCTATTCTACATGTTTCGAGGATCCAGTCCTCATCCTCAGGAAAATTCGTCAATTTTTGAATAAAAGATAACCATATCCCTCAGATTACAATTTAAATTCTTACGATTAAACAATTAAAACAGAAATAAACTATTAAAAACTGAATTGGAAGATTCTGGAATTCATCGGCGCGTATTATGGAACCAGTTTTGGATGACGTATTACAAAGTATATCACAGTGTACAATTATTTCAGTGAGTTAGCGATTTATTAAAATTCTTTGGGTAGAAATGGCCGAATATAGGTATAGGGAAAACATTCATTGTCGCTAGCCTGGTAATGTCCGAAAGATACTACTTTCGTAAGTCCTACGAATAACTCCCCTACTTAGACAAGTAACATTTAAGAGAAATAAATTAGACAATTAACAGAGCTGACATTACGGATTGAAGTAATTAATCTTTAGAATTTCAAACATTTAACATTTTATTTTAATTATTCGTGGTTGATTATTGTGATAATATGTTGCTACCTTCTCAAGTGCCAAATCACCAAACTCTGGCAATGATACCCAGATCTCAAAGAAACCGGCAGGTAAATCTTCGATACCGGATTTCTGAAAACTTTTGAGATTCCCGCAGTGAGCCTAAGTCATCAATATCTAAATCAGTTTGCGTGATGCACAATAGAAGAAGTTTGCCTTGGGTTGCTTCATTTTAATACTTTGTTGCACACTCGATTCTTTTTCAGCCATTACTGCACATCCATCAAATCCAAGACTCACTAGTTCATCCATATCCAAGCGAAAATTAGATACTGTATTTAGGATCACGACCGTTATCGTTTTGACATTAAACATTTCTAATGCTTGAAAATCCTAAAAGTTCTTTTTTGATCGTAACATTTTCCTGATATTTCAGACGTTTCGTCAGCCAAAATAGAAAAGCCGTCAAATTTATTTACCTTATCAACGATTTGATTTTTTTTAACCTGGGTTCATATGTCGATTCATAACTACACTTTGCGTTAGCTAAACAGAATTCAGAAGAATCTTACAACACATCACCTGCTTGTACTTTAACTGTTTGAGTCTCAAGCAGCGCGATCTCGTTCTACAAATTTAATGTCGAAAAATCATGGTCTTAATGCAAGCGCTATAGCGCCATTTGGGTCTTTTCGTACTCATTTAGAGAAAGCAGGGTGGCACTGTTCGGGATTTATCTACAGTGGTTGTGGTGCCAGACGGTTAAATGTTGATAAATCCGCAATCTTTTTTAACTAAGATCCCTTCACGAAGAAACCGTGAATTCCACAAAATACTATTGTACAATTGATAGGAAGGAGTTTCTTTCTATTCTCGTCCACCTTGCAGTGGAAATGCCCATTTGTTGAATGACATTCTTCAGTGTCCATTCCATTAAAATTTTAAAAAATTCTACAGACACTTATTATAACAACTTTTATTTCAGAGATGATCTACTGCGCTTGTTGAACTAAACTTATTCTTTAACTGTAAAGTGCGGGTACAGAATACAAAAGGGTAATTGATAATTTTTAAATTATTATTAATTTTAATTTAACTGTTAATTTCGCTACATTCCTTCTGAAGAAAGAAAAACATAAAATCAGGGTCAAATATTTATTTTTAAGATATTTTTTCGGCGACCTCAAAAGGAAACTTTAGAGGCAAAGAATATTACATTAACTAAATTAAAAATACAGACTTAACTTGAAATTCTATCAAAGTGTATTACTATATCATACTTTTCATATTATAACTAATCCACCGATTATAACTACAAATTATAGTAACCACTAAGGCTGTAATTCTTTAGCAGATTTAAATTATGTAAAGTAATATCGATCCGATAACCGTCATTGAGACCGGTTTAATATTCCAATAGAAAAAAAATATTAATAACCTAGGTAAGCTAATACATGAATACATGAATATAAAATCCTGGAACGAAGCCGAGCAATAATTAATATTTTATTCGCGTGCCTATAATAGGCCTTGGAATAAATTAGTTGTAGGGAGACGCGTAAGAACGTACGAGCATTTTAACACCGCGATTAATCAAAAGCAATCGGCTTTCGATAAATTCCCTCGATTCGAGCTCCACGTTTCTCATTTGCGCCCGCGATAGCGTAATAATGTTATCAATCAAGGGAATCGCGGCCCTTTGGGCTTTATTTGCCATTTTATCGCCGCTTCCTCCCCGAATGTCAACCGTATCAATTTGCACAAAACCCTCGGCGCGTGTTACGGAAACAATCAATCAAGACGAGAACGTTTCGGAATTCGCTCTCTCAAAACCCATCCAAATTAGAAATAATGATACAGCAGTCTTCACCGGCGCGGTTTGATAATAGAAAAGAAAATCCATTATATCAAACTTAACGACGCGACGTTAAGTCTTATCGTAAAGAAAAAGTTTAAATTAGATCTTTACTGAAAGTGTATTATTTAAAGAACAAAAGAACAAATTTCCCTTTTCTGAATCCTTTGCCAATTTCCAGTTTGAATCATATATTTAACGGGAAAACGCTTAGTTCGCCCCAGTGAACGGTATGTAATCAGGAATACCGTGGACTATCGTGTTGAGCCATCGGCCTAAAGTGGCCATCGTCCTTAGTTTGCATACCGGGTGTGTACTCGCTGATTAGCACGTGTTGTAGTGCCTGTGGCTTTCAACGTCAGCGAAGAAGAGACATTGGAGTCCGAAGAGACCGAGCTGGTGATGAGCTCCGATGGCGACAGCTTTATAGAGTCCTTCGAAACAAGTGTGTATACAACCACTTTAATTTACCGAGAAAATTAACTAATTTAACTCTATTTTTATGTTGTTTATTTAGTTTCAGCAAGAAAAGATAGTGAAAGTTACGTAGAAGTAATTATCGGAGTTTTAACAGCGATAATGCTTCTTCTTCTCATAGTCTTTGTTATCATCCTCTTAATCAGTCGCCGCCACAAACTTCAAGGTTCGCCGACTCTCCTTCGGAACCCTTTCGGAGTAACGATAAACATGAAGGTAAATCCAAAAGTACGTACTCGTCGGAGCGTTTATTGTTGTTGTGTTTGTCGATTCAATTACTTAAGAAGTTTCTTAAGAGCTTTAATGATTGTGTTCGTCACCGAATGGATCCATTAAATGACGCCTAAAGCAAAAGCCTTTGGGGCAATTTTAGTAAATCTAATCTTCGTTGGGAACATCGTTAGGGCAATCGATAATCGCCGTGTACGTTCTTAAATATTTCACCGGGTCATTCGTTGTGTAACGGGGGCACGTGCTCCAATGAGAACGGGTTCGAGCACGTACTCCGATGCTTTGGGGCAGGCGAACTCTTCGGAAACTGATTGCAACGAGTTCGTTTTGTTTCAAAAGAATCACCAACAAATCATTAGAGTGTAACAATCTTACCGATTGTTTCAAAATAAATAGTTTTATCTTTAGTGTCATGAATAAAAAAATCCTAATGGCGTTATAATGAACAAGATATTCTCTAGAGAATGCGAAAAAACAGTTGCTCTTATTGCAAAAGTTTCGACGGAACAATAAAAGAAACTCGTCGAAACAAGGTAAAGTAGGGGGTCTTTAGCGTTTATCACCATCGTAGAAACGCTCTTTTTATTGTCGACGGTGTAAATCAAACGTTGAACGTTCCGGAGCACGGTTACGATCACAAAACGGGGTCGAGTTTGTAACATTCGAAGTGGCCATTTGCAATTCTGAGCCGTCGAAGCGATGTAAACACAAGATGTCCAAGAGATGTCTCTTTTACTGGGAATATTTACATAAAATCAACATAAAGTGAAGAGGAAAACAAGTCTAATTCAAATAGTTCAATAGAAGTTCAAGTTAACTGATTTAAATGTTGATGGAAAAGAGACTATTTTTTTATCGTGGTTGTAATAACAAAAAAAAACGAGGGTTGTTAAAATATTTCGCGCGTTCAGAAGAACCAAGAAAAAACTGTGCAGTATAAAGGCGGTATTTTTTAATTAAAAGGGGACATGTAATATTTATGTGAGGTACATAGAACGTGGTTAATTGAAATGTTCAAAGCACTTTTTGTGAGCATCATGTATAAACACAATCTGTTTTAAATTTTTTAACGACCTCCGCTGGATTTAAAAAAATCTTGATTTTATTTTGCTTTTTACAAATAAATAAAGGATCATTAGTCACTAGTTAACATTGATAATGTATCATAATGATCAACGGACACAAACTGATGTTGCATTAGTCCCATTCTATTAACCCCATCAATCTAAATCGTCTTTTCCCTTCGTAGGACCTACTAATGAACCTGTCTTCGGGTAACAATCCGGCGCCAACCAGTAGCCATCCGACGCCGGTAAGCGCCGAAGCACCAAGTGATCCATCTTCGGTATCCTTCGAACAGTATCGATCACCTCTAGTGAACTCATATTTCACGCCTAATTACGCGACTTTGAGGGTGACGACCAATGCAACGCCTACGACACCTCCTGAAGAACCGGAACACGACGATCAACCGCCAGAAGTTCCTCCACTACCTACATCACCATCTTTACTTCATAGCCCAATAAACGTTTCGTCTCCATTGCATTATAGAAGTTTGCAGAGTACACCATCGATTAGTCCAAAATCAAAGATTGTTAATCTTGGAAATTATTTTCCTAGAGTTTCAACGGATCCACCAAATAGGAAACGTTATCACACTGCACCTAGAGAAAAACAAAGGGTAAGAATAATTTTTTTTCTAACTTGAATTAGATTCAAAATGTAATCACATTTTAAGAGATTTTAAAGTCTATTAAAAAAGGATCACTTTACAACTGATCCAGTTTAATTACATTACCGTTACAGATTTCGTTCGCGTTTCAACGAAAGCTCGATCCAATTTTTAAAGAGCATTAAGTACGCTGTTAGTTTTCTAGAGAACATCAAAGCGGGTCGTCGTAGCTACCCTTTGCCCTTTTTTCCGCCGATCGGACTAGCGAAGCCAATTCGCAAATATGGACCGTCTCGTTCATAATTCTCTATCTGTCGCGACCAGATAGAACTTCGAGAGGTCTACGAGACTCCAACTTGTTATCTTAATAGTCCGTTTCGATATTATATTTACCCGGAGATTGCAGACGCCTTTTTACTCGTGCAATTAAACTTTATCTTAATTTAATTACGTCTTAACGAGATGACCGTTTCTCTTTACGATCGCAAACCCCGTTGATTGTTTTAATTTCAAATTATAATCTTTATGATCTCATTCTTTCAAAGTGAACGATTCTTTTTGTGGGTACAACTGAAATGGAAACTCGAATAGGTCACGAATTGAGTAACGTACACAATTGGGACCTATTCGAATGGTATTGGCTTTTGAGGAAAGAGTCATTAAAGAGTTTCCCCCGGCTCAATATGACGTCATATCCTATTAACTGGTACAATGTACCGTCGTTAACTATTCAAGCGATCGCTAGTGAACCCACATGTTTAATTAACTAGCATAGAGATCGAACATTAATCATTTAACCTTCCAATCAAGAAGTGTTAATGGGTAATGAATAGACTAAAAGAAAAATACGCTTATGAATTAAATTCTATTAATTAATTTATTTAACAAGATTGGTATCAATGATATTGGTGTTGATCTTCTTGAATTTCATGTGGATGAATTTCACCAATGGATATTATGACAATTTGTTCATGCAAAGCTATGGCTAATGTTGGCAAATAATCGCAAACAGCTTCTAATTCAACAGAAGATTGGAATTTTTAATCCTCCAATGGGAATTATTCCCTATTATTTGTAAAGGGACTTAAACTGCTTATTCAGCAAAAACGATTCATTCAACAAAATACGAACAACTTAAATAAAAAAATTGTAAGCCCTCGTAAACTTCGAACAAACTCTTCTACAGCGACCGTAAATCAGACCAAAAATATAATCTACACTAGGACCAAGACGAAAAGCGTGCGTCAGCTACAAAGTTAAAAAGAAGGAAACATCTTGAAAAAAATCAGTTTCACTTAGGTGGTGACACTTGCAACTATTGAAGCACCTTATTCTAAATCTTATGGCCTATATTCAGAAATCCACCTTCAGTTCTTGTCTTCCTAGAAAAAGTTAGATATAGATCTTGTTTTCCACCTGTGCTATTGAAATGAACATCTCTAAGCTAATTATGGTTAGCTTATATATATAGCAATGTACAACACAATAAATAAATGTACAAAATGTAAACAAATAAATAATCGACAGCTTAACAAACGTAAATTGACAATCATGCACAGGAAAAAATATAGAGTAAAAATCAACTCTAAAACATGGTTCAGACCGGTCCAATATATTTAGAGTTATTTCTTTGCACTATATAGTGTAGGTGAATAAATTAAAATTTTACACTAAATAGTGAAAGATGGTGTTTATTAAATAGTGTAAAATCGTTACTCTATAACAGTGTATTATATGTAATCTAACTAGATGTTGTCGTGACTCTAATTAGATACATTTCTAATCTAATCAGTGTAAATTATTAAAAATTCGCTCTAATTTTACTCTATTAAGTGACAAAATATCACTAAATAGTGTGTACCTTTCACTTATTAGTGTTAATTTTTAATAGGAAGTATAGAATATTTTTAGGAACGTTTTAGGTTTGTAATAAAAATCAAAATTATAAATATATTTCTTTTTATTTTTACTTGTAATATATTGTTACATCTTAAATTAAAAAAAAATTAAATTCTTTTTTTATAACCATACTTAATCCATTTTAAAGTTTCCACCGAGTCACCATGAAAACTGCATCTAATGAGTCTTCTATAAGTTTTCTGTATGTATAGTTGTACATACTTACCAATCTTCGCAAGGAACTCGTACGTAAAATCTTCCGGAAGTTCCACTAATTTCACAACAAGAATGTTTGGCAAACATAATTAAAATAAAAATAATCGTTCTTTCTTTTTATATCGCGTAAATCAGGTCTCGAGACGCTGTCGAGTTCCGACTCGTTTAGTAATTGGCCGTTAAATTTTAGCTGTATCACACCACGTGTTAATCACGTGGTACCACGAGTAATCCCGAGGAAAATAGTGCGGTGCCTACGAAGTACCCGAAGGAAAAGTACACGTCTAGTGTAAAATTTAATGTTTTATATATTACATAACTTCACTAACATAAGTAAAAAAGAACTCTCCTTTAGAGAACTGTAAAAACTACTCTATTAAGTGAATAATATATGAACTCTATATTAATATTAAATATAGTGTACATTAGAGTTATTTTTACCATGTGATATTACAATTTTTACTCTAATTCTTTTTACCAACTACTCTAAAATTTTTACACGACACGATTTTTTCCTGTGTGTCTATAAACAAACCCCACCAGCCCTTGCAACCCAATCCCAACCGTTTTATGTTGTCATCTGAACTTGCGTTCTGTGGCAAAATATGCACCCCATACAAGAATAAAACAATTAAGTAGCTAATGAACAAATGCGTAATAAATGTGATAATATTTATGATAATATGATAAGTACTATATCATTTAATGAATAAATTCAATAATTTTTGATTCCATACGAATATCATGATTTGCGGAGACTATGATACGAGGTGATTATGTACGAGGAATGTTTTGATGTTGGTTTTCAAGGTTTCTAAAGCTGCAGAACTCTAACAGTTTTGTCGTTATTTACACACAACTCGTTCACTATACATCAATCGTGTGCCTTCTATATTACCTCCGCTAATAAGCCATGTGTTATCATTATTTGATCAACCATTCGATTGTCGAGACTTACCTCAAGGCGACGAAACTCTTAGCCTAACCACCATTAATGCAGAAGAAAAATGAAATAAACACGGAACAAATCCAAAAAGTGATAGACAAATCCAAAGATCGAGAAGCATCTGGTTGATTACTGATGTATCAACGAGCTTATTAAGTATGGAAGTTCAGAAATTCAAAAAGAATTAACTAAACTCTTTAACAGAATTGTTAAAAAAGAAATAATACCGTCAGAAAGATACATTGGTGTCACCATTCTTATATTCAAAAAGGGACTAAAGAAGGACCCAATAAACGATTGAAGAGTAACATTACTAAACACCGTCTTAAAATTCCTTACTAAAATCCTGGTACAAAAAGTCAGAACAATATAATCAGTCCTCAATATAAGGAGGAATAATGAGGCGTCCGATAGACTAGAATGACTAGATTGACAATGTAAACTGCGGAGTTTATTGAAAAGGTCCTTGAATTTGACTGTGTTCCTATGCTTGGTCGATTTGTAAAACTGTTTGGTAGGGTAAGTCTTCTGGATATAGTAAAAATACTTAAGAATCATAAGACCCACAATAGAATAGTGAGAATTATTAATGAATGGAAAAATGGAGCCAGTATAGATAGTCACTATACACTGTGTTAATTAATTATCACACCCGACGTCATCATTGCAAGTATACAACCAATATCACAGTATTCATATTGCAATACGCAAATCGCGTTATTGGTTACATACTTGCAATAATGACGTCGGGTACGATAATTAATTAACACACTGTAGATGAAATTATTGTTGTACTGAATGAGGCTAATGCTGGGTACAGAATGAGGAACAACCGTATTAAAGTATTGTGATATGTAAACACGCTTTTTTTATGGGAAAGCAAAGAATATATTGATATCGATTGAAAAATCACAATCAATCTAAAGAACCAATTAGATGTAAGCTCGTAGTGAACAATAAAATTATCTAACAGTGAACCTTCACAATCTAGAAGTAGAAATACGTAGTGACAGAAATCTTATAAATGTAGTAAGAAAATAAGTAAACACAGCTAATCGAACATCTGGACATTATATGGGGAAACCAGTATATCCCGACGGAAAGTAAGGTCTAAATATATAAAACCTGTGTAAAATCTATACTTCTTTATGATACAGAGACACGAACAGATACGGCAAAAACAAATAAATAATAAGATCGGCCGAAATGAAGACAGTGAGAACCAAGTTTAGGATGTGGTGAGATAGGTGTGATTCCGGCAAAAGGAATGGAGTGATTATGGAAATAGGATGACTCCACAAATAATGGCAAAATAGACCATGCTAGAACAACCAGATATCAAACGAGCCTCTGTTAGACTATCTAAAAGGTGGCGTGAAAGTTGCACAACAGGGTCGCAGGAGGTCTAAACCCAGAAAAAACAGGACATGGTTCTATTAGAAGAGGAAGAACAAGAAAAGTATCGAACCAAAATTTGCCTTCTGAAAAAACGTCGCTTCTGAAAATCGAGCTGACCCTCAAACATAAAATATGTTTCTCAAGTAATCTGTGATCTTATTTAGGTAACCCATTTATATTTTTATGAACATTCATAGGATATGTATATTACTGTTATATTACAGTTAGAAAATTGGAATTGCAGACGCAATTCCAATTTTCTGCTTACCTTTTTCTTAATGAATTTATTGTATCACGAACCTTAACCTGGATAACATGTCTGAGTTTTGTCTCTCGTATTTTCCACACTGTCATCACCTGAGACTCTTCAATACACGTAGGTTCATCCGTCATTTTAAAATTATTTTTCGACGTACGTCTAGAGGGCACCATTCATCTTCATATTTGCCGTATTATTACCGGCAACCTCCAATACCGATTCACTCATGCTTTAGATATAGATTCTCGCTTTCACTTGATTCCATATATTCCGTTATTATTTCTTTAACATTGTTGTTCTCAAAAGTTACATCAAATCTTCAGTCACATTCAGAAGTAATTGATCAGTAGCAGAAAATTTTGATGTCTTTATCAACAAAAACATCAGAAATTTTGAGAATACAACTTAAGCTTGCACTTTTCACTAATAGTATGTTACGAATAGTAAGTTACAATATGTTAATTTTACTTGTTTTGTTGAATAATGAAGAATGGGAGCATCGAATTTATCAAATCAAATAGTTAATAATTTTTTGTCTCTTCTACACAATCATAAAACATTTTTTCTCTACATTCTCTATTCAATTAAACCCACGGATGTTTTGAGTTTGGCAATCAAATCAATATGGCGTAGCTCGCGATGCAGCCACATTTGTTGCGCGAATTTTTGTACTTTACATGTATCCATTAGCAAATTCCAATAACACCAATAAAATTTTTAATTTCGGGCTGTTAGAAATTGCGAAAATGGCGGTCCCTTGCTGCAATCGGTGTATATTCACAATGTGTAAATTTAAAATCCGAATTCTCCACGCAGAACTTCTTTACTAAATCACCTTCTTCAGCTTATGTAATTTCGAATTCTTTATAACAAAATAAATACAAAATTAATAAATATTCCAAGCGCACGGTAATAATTTGATAAGAATAAAAGGAAAAAAAGTTGATTTTGTGAAATCTACGAAAACCTTCTACAGAATCGATTCAATCTACCTGCAGACGGGTTAGAGACATTGTTACTGGAAATTACCTCTGTGGAGGCGGGTTCAACATGTATGCCCACCAAACAATCTCGAGCGAATATCTCACGCGCGAAAGGACTAACGAGGTCCGTTGTTTGTATGCAGATGCCACCACCGGTCGTCTGTTGGAACATCGCTCCCAGCATGGCGCATAGCTACAGTTGCAGAGAGGCTGAACTGATCCCAGTTCCACGATATTCCCTGAGATTAGTTGAAAAATTAGGAACGTGTCACGCTGGAGATGTAAGTGGTGAAAAAGTGTTTAAAAGAAACTAACTTTAATTACATAAATTTCTGCGGTTAATCCCTGGATTTCGCACGTTTACAGATTAGTTTATACGAAACGGAAGGTTTAGAGGATATAATTCCTGATATTGGACGTTTGGTGATGGTGAGGTCACCAAACCCCGAGAGAGCGAAGAACGATGCCGCAACGGGCTCGATGGAGTCCCTTCGGGAGGTACGGTTCTTGGCCAGTCTATCCGACCCAAACGTTTGCGCCGTCCTCGGGGTTTGCACAGCCGAACAACCCCCGTGGACCATTATCGAATATGGCGATATGGGCGACTTGTCGCAGTATTTGCAGTTTCTAGCTAACAGAAATTCTGCTGGACGATCGTCGACAGAATTACCCCTAAGGTAATTGGTACCAATAACCATCTACGTAACTTATTTCTTTTTTATGTTATCTTTATTATATACAAAGAATAAGTTTATTGATACAAATAAATCTGAATTTTTTTTTAGTATCGAAACTTTGGTATTTATGGCGACCCAAATAGCATCAGCAATGAAATACCTTGAATCGAAGAACGTCGTTCACAAAGACCTGGCCGCTAGGTAATTGATTTAAGGAATTTCCTTTTCCCGCTTTTCGTTCGACCATTCTTTGCTTTTTCGATCCTTCCCGATACACAATTCCTTGACCTTTCAATAAATTGTTCTTATTTTGCTAGAAACTGTCTTGTTGGTCGAGGGTATATCGTCAAAGTTACCGATATAGCTATGGGTAAACCGTTATACAGAAAGGACTATGCAGAAATTGGTGGAAGACCACCAGCCCCAATCCGGTGGCTCCCATGGGAGAGTATTTTATTGGTGAGTACACGCTAACTTTATTACAGGAATTACCTATAATATGCGATAAGTTGAAGAGAATCACCACAACTAGGTTACTCCCAAGATTGTTTAACTACATCATAGTGGTACATACCAAGATATTATTAGAGCTTCCACAGTGAGAAATCAATAAGGTTACTTTAGAAAAAGATTAATACTTCAGTAGCCTGTGGAGTTTAAAGACTAAAAGCAAAATCAGATTTCGGTCTTTTCCGCATGTGACCCTTTGAAGACGAACTTCGCGCGAACAAATTTCATTTAATTATCGTGTTTCCATTTCAAGAAAACGAACGGTAGAATTACGAAGTTGACTAATAAAAAAAAGATTCTTCGACACCCGACAAGTTGAACGCTATCTGAAAAGCGACCGAAACTTTTGTTTTAGGACCGGTACACTTGCTCCAGCAGCGTTTGGGCCTTCGCAGTCACGGTTTGGGAGATTTTCAGCTTTGCGTGCGAACGACCTTTTCATAATTTAACCAACGAGAAGGTTATACAGAATGCGGAACACATGTACTATGGAGGCGAATTACAGGTCAGTAATTTTTAATGTTGTGTATTTGATTCAAACAGAATACAGAATCTACAAAATGATGTACGCTTTTTTATTTTTTTTTTTTTAGGTCCTCCTCAATAAACCAACGGTATGTTCACCCGAAATTTACGACCTTCTCTGTCAGTGTTGGAAAAGAGATGACACTTCAAGGCCTACCTTCAAACAAATATACATGTTTTTAAAACATACAAGCAAAGATTATTCACCTTCAGATTGATCAACGTTGGTGTATCATATTAAAACTAAATCCACATCAGTTCGTAGTGTAAATATCGTGAAGTAAAACCAGTTTTTAATAGATGTGTTTTTGGTACAATCACCAACTCTTTAATTTTAGAAAGAAAATAATCGTAAAGACGTAGTGTATTTTCTAAGTGCTTCCATAAGGTCCGCTAATTAAGGTGCCATCTTGTACATTTCCTTCTATGTTAGGTTAGTTAATTTAAAAAGTTGGATACTTTGCATATAAATTGTTCATATTAATATGTATAGTTTTAGATATCAGTAGTTTTAATAACATTAATAATTGAGGGTTTAAGGTGTACATAAAGACTGTTAGAGTAAGAATTAGATGTAAATAATTAAAATTAACTTGTATCGCGTGTACATTTAGCTCAAATTCAATGAGCAATAATTTAGTAATTTTAAATAGAAATATTCCATTTTGTTATTATCGAATGAACTTTTTAACTTTAAGAGTGATGATTCAGAAAGATTTAATACATCAAAATATGAACTTTGTTTTTTAAATTCACATTTATCATATATACACAAACTCATTAAACATCAAATAAACAAAAATAAGATACTCAACTTTATCGTTGTTGTTATATGGTCTAATAAACATCAGTTCTAATCAGTTAATTACTGCTTATTACGATAAATTTCGAAAAAATCTTAACACTAATTTTAATCCATTTCAATTTTTCAATACAAATCAATAATCAGAGAAAAATGTAAAATCTGAAATAATGTGAAAACTTCGAAATGCTTTAATTTATAAAAAGTAAGAGGCTTTAGAGGATTTTGTTAGAAAATGTTTAGTTGAGGTTTCATATAATACTCGCGAAATTGCATTGGAAAGCACATTTTCATGTTTACACAAGTTAGTTTTGAAATTTTGAAATGATTGACAAGAATAACTGCTTACCTGACAGTGTGGTTCTTTAAATATTATAATAGACCACAATAAATTATTGAAAATAATGGGGTTTGTTGAGATTTTGACAAAATAATTTTACTTATGCAAAGAAACTTGCCGACTTTTATTTATATTTTAATCTAAAATATATTCTGCTATCAGATAAGATTACTTCTTCGTTTACAACAGGTGTTGATACCAACTGTGCATAAAACTGGTTTGTACATTTCGGGAATATATAGGAACAAGACGTCAAATTTTCAAAATTTTTGGATTAATTGGCAATGAGGCAATGTAATCAACAAAGAGGAAATCTTAATACACGGTAAAATCGTCAAATCCAAGCTTTACAGATCTGCATTTGCATACTCCATTGATATTTTTTGTCATCTGTCCATAAAAAATTGTGTAATCTTCGGTTGTAAATGCCTTTTCAGAATTAGTATTCAAACACCTTTCTGACACACAGCTGATCCAAAAAACTTAAACAGTCTTATTCTTTTTCATAACATCTTCTGTACAGAGATTTCAGTAATCGTTGTAAGGAAGCTGTCATCGTTTCGATGGTATAGCTCTTGTGATCGCATCAGTACTTTTACTTTGAACACATCTTTACTTTGTAGCGCACTTTCTATTTAAACTTTCAATTTTTCGCAAGTGGTAAAATCGCTGCTTACAAAGGAGTAGTTAGTCTTCCAAAAATATATTGAGTAACATCCCATTAAAAGCCTCAGTACAACTATTGGTTTTGGTCATTATACAATTCGTGAAGTGAGCTTTGAAAGAGAAAAATCTAAGTTACACTTGAGTTTATTGTCACTTCGACAATAATGCGATGTGAAGTCTTGCAAAAATGTTTTTAGATGCTAAAATTTCAGGTGGTAAACGGTGAGAATGATTTTCATTCCTAGTTCTAAGATCAGAAGCAATGTGTTGAAGATTTTGAACTTTCCTTCTCAGTTGACTCAATATGTTGATCATCCAACGAGACATAATATTTGAAAATTCCAAAAACTCCAAAATCAATTTATTTATTTAAAGATATTGTGCATCTTTAACTACTAAACATCATCCCAGATTTAAATTAGGTGCTATAGTTTTCAAATCATCATATTGCGACAAAATTTTCTCCTTACTATCAACGTTGACTTACATCTACAATTTGGCACAGATCTTTTTTAGATCTTTAAACATCATATTTCCATGGATCTTTCTTCTTTTTCCAATAAATTTCTTAGCAACCTCGGAAGTTTCTTGCAATATATCTATATCAGTTTGTGATGCAGATGCATTTAGGTAGGAGGAACTATTAACCCCTATAAAGTCACTATACTCTGTTGGCGGATGGTACTCGTCGCTGAGACCTCCACTACACGTTTCTTCATAAGTAAAAGATAAAAATAGCCTTAATAACTTATTATTAGGACGATAATATTATCCAAAGAGAAAATGACGCAATATTTTTTAAAATAAATTATGAGATCTGTATACTTTAATTATACAAAACTGTGGGAATCTATACATTACGTATAAAACAGGTACCTAAAAGATAGCTATAAACTTTATTAGCAGAATTCTCTTACACGATAATTTTAAATCCTGCTGTTCACTCAGGTTCATTTAAAACTACCTCGACACAAAAACATAACCTGCGTTATGGAGTAGGACACATTTTCACCAACAACGCATATAACTATAGCATTTTTTCCAAATCATTACCATAGAGTTTTAAAAGTTGTACTACTTCACCCATATTTAACTTCTTTTCAGTTTTCTTAGCATTAGGTTTAGTACGTAAAATCATGCATGATTGATCATAGATGTGTGTCGATAATATAATAAATATTTTCAATTTGAGGCTTTAAAGCTGTCCATCGCTTACCCCATGACTCATTTAAGCAGTCAAAAGCAGATCTCTTCACCCTTACTTTTAAAAATTTATCACTTCAAAAATTTGTATCTGGCTTCATCATTTAAAAGCAGACACATTCATTATCAATTTCTGAAAATATCATAAATGTTTTCCTTTGTACTTTCTGTATGCTTTCCTTCTGTACTTTACATACAACAATTATCTTTCTAAGAATGTAACAAATTCCTCTGGAGCAATTTTCTTTTCGATAGCATTGCAAACAAATTCACTAACCAACTGGCAAGCTCTTCAATTATTGTATATATCACTTAGTTGGTATTTAACGGCCTTCGCCGATTCTGCCTGCATTGCAATTCAAAGAAAAAGTCCAATTCCAACACACGGCAATCATTCTGATAAAGACAATTCACATCTTACAATTAGTGGGATCCACGAGATTTGACATAAATGTTATTCAAGTTAACAAACAACAATGTACGATTAAAGTTCGAAGTATCCACACTTCGTCTTCACACAGACCTAGCGGAGAGGTACTCAATGTCGAGATTGTGAAGGTCGTGTTTCAAACTGTCGAGACTCTTGTGGGGAATAGCACCGGCTTTGCTCACAAAGATCGACCACACGAAAAAGTCTTTGAACCCGCTCGTCTTTTCAGGAATGTAATTGGTCCGGCACCACTGTTGAATCACCTTAGCCTTGTGCGCGGAGGTTACAGTGAGACTACCTCCAAGCAATCAGTTCCTTCATCAGAATCTCATCAAGGTAGTTCTGGGAATTAATCTTAACCTTCTAATCCACAAAAAACAGAAATCCCAAACCATGACCTGAGCGGCATGACCTTTTGGGGAAACATAGCGACCACGGTCATTAGCTTCCTGAACCGTTCGCGACAAAATTTTGTCGTTTTGGAGGTTGAATGTTTCAGTCCTGAATAACTTCTCTTCAGTGAAGAGGATGTCTTTGAGATCAACCGGTAGGAAGCGTTTCAGAAGTTCGCGACATCTCTGAAGACAAATCTGAACCTGCTTCTGTTCCGTCAAGATGTGAATCTTTTGCATACTGGTGCTACGAAGCCCCAAACGATGTTTGACGATCCTGTGCACAGATTCATTATTCGGCTGATATTCAGCTCCTTGACCATTTTTCTGAGTCTCATCTTGGAACTGTAGCGAACCATGTCCCAGACATGCTTAATCATACTGGGAGTTACGGCAGTCTTTGGTCTTCCACTTCTAGGACGATCCTCGATACTACCAGTCTCCCATTAACGACGAATTTTACGTTGGATCACCCCGCCTGGCTCGGGATCAATGTCGTGGCACGGTTTACGTCGGACACGTGTATTTTTAAAAGTGTCTTTAGTAACAATATGATGAACATGAGAGCAAATAGTGACATGCATACAACAAAATCGAACAAAGTTACAACATCGCAAAGTTAGGCTCCCGGACTTTTGTGGCACTCTGTAATAAAAAATGCAGAATTTGTAACAATTTTTACATATTTTCCAATGGCACCCCAATAAAGATTAAGAATTTCACGGACTTGGTGTTAGATATGCTAAATTATCATCACAATTGACTTATTCCAATTTTCTTAATACTTAAATAATATTTACTTAGCCATATGTTATTAAGTTTTAATTCACAATATTCAACAGTAATGTTTACATGAACATAATGTTGTGTTTCAAAAATAAAGTTCATACTTTGATATATAAGAATGTGCTTTTGACAAGTCTTTAAAATTTAATTTTTAAAATGTGTGCAAAGTATCCGAAACATCTACTAATAAAATACTTCATAGTGCCACAGCTTTTAAGAAATAATTATATTCACTATAAAATAACGAATATAAAAACGTTATAAATTAAATAATTCTCTACAGTAAACTAATAATTCCTTTACCGAGATATTTATCACTGTTTTTGTAAGACAATCACATGTTGATTTTTTAAGATCAAAAATATTCAAGTTGTTGGTGAGAAATAAAAAGTCACACTTACTAGTAATTGCATGTATTTTTTACAGAATCTGTCTAATAAAATACAAACAAATTTTATTGAGAAAATAACTATAAATAAACGCGTAAATAATAGATGGACCAAAAAAAACGAATAGAGATAAAGTGTATTTATAAAGTAAGATTTAAAAGGAAAGAAATACTTATACTTAGTATAAATATTGTTGAGCAACAAAAAAATTATAATTATATGAAAAGATGATACATAAAAGAAAGATGGTGTTTTAATTTTAGAGTTGTGAGTGAAGTAAGGTCTCCATTTCTTTTTCTTAAATGTAAGATAATAGTAAATATAATACAGAAAGACACCTAAGGTTTTCAATGTAATTAAAGTAAAACGATGCTTCACTGTTCAGCGTTTGTGATACACAGTGTACATAAAAGTATTTGCTAAGAAAACGTTTCTAAGAAAAACAAAAAGAAATGAAATTAAGAAACGTCTATCTTTTCTATACAATAGGCCGTCTTTATTAAATTAGAAAGAATAGATCTATAGTTGAAATTAACAGAAAAGGTGTCCAGAATGTTATCAGCTACAAATAGACTAAGTTATCTGTAACTTTTTGCAAACTCTGTATAAAACCGCGAATTTTGTGTACTTTCCTCGATTTGTTAAAATAAAATTACTTGTGAAAACAAACAATCTATGTCATTTTTTTTAAACATACATTTTTTTCCTATTTTTAATTACAGCGAACAACATTTCAGTCAGAAATCAATGTATATAAAATTTCAATAAAAATCAACGCAACAAATATAATATCATCATCTTTGCATAAGAAATACTAACTTTCTCTTAATGCTCTATTTTCTAAAATTTGCGATACAAAAACGCCATTATAAAGATTTCATCGACATTTTTTACAAAAGCGTCTGATTAAAGCAATTTCGTTTCTCTTTTTTTTATGCCACACATTATTATGTACATTTTCTTATAAAATATCAGTCTTAGCAGAACATCTCCTAGTTGGAGACATTTATTTTTACTTAAACGAAACAATCCCTTAATATTCTTATCATAACTCTAACAATCATTAATAGGAATCACTTCAAAAATTTATTAATTACCATAAAATTTTGACAATTACACTTGGTTTAGTTTAATTAAATTTTCGCGCCCTCAGTCCACAGCTTTAACAAAATAATATCAATTCTCACAGAGAACTTATTTATATTTTTGTGTTTAATAGGATATTTCTTTTAATTATTATTCGGCGATGTTTCGCATAGATTTTTCACAATGTCATCGTACGTTTTCAAATCGGACTCGTAATTCTTCAACTGTTGTGCTAAATCTTGTTCTGCTATTGTTGGAACTTTATTAAATATTGGCGGTGCTCTTTGCCATTCTATGTAAAAGTTGTTTAATTCTGTTGCGGCGTTAGGTGTTGCAAATGGTGTTCTCTGTAACAAAAAGAAAATTTTGTATAAATAAAAATTTTTTTTGGATTATTATTAATTTATAAGTAACAAATTTTTAGTGCGTAGCAATGATAAAAAAGCAGTTTAATTTTTATTTGAATGTTCTGATATTTCTATTGTCAACATTAATTACTCTACTGGAGTTAATAATAATTTCTGTATAAAATACATAAATTTAAAATTCATTTATGAGTAAACGCGTAGTAAACGAGAAAATGTAGTTTTTACAGTTACCTTATGTATCAAATTTGTTATTGTAACAACTTAATATGGCAATATTTTACTTTTCAGTTCTCCTCTTCTACCAGCATCAATTAAAATTGCTCGTCATTGGTAAAGCTAATTACTCACGTGCCGTTTAAAACAAAGAGCTTAACGATCATCGACAAATCTTGTTTAAATTAAATGCTTGGTTGATCTCGGCGCTCTTTAAGGTGTGGTTCGTTAAAATGTTTTCCTTTAGAGGTAAGACAATATTCTCAAGGAAATAAGTTATTTGATTGATCTATAATAGCTTAAACGATACTTCGAAAAGCCAATGATGATGAATAACATGTTTATTTATTAATAAACTATGGATTTAAGTCCCTTTTAATGATTTGTAATCAATTCGTATAAGAGAAAGAGTTTATCAACCGACTTTGTATGCAATGACGAAACAGACTTTATACAGTTCCTTACCAAAATTAGAAATCTTTGAAAATAATACAAAACAAGGAAGTCGAGAATTTAATGCTATTAGGCATGGCGAAGCAATATTTAATTTTGGTGGAAAATTAGGTGATTGAAACAGGATAAATATGACAGAATAATTGTTTGTGAATTGTGCTTTCTTTATAGTTTACTTTATACAAATTGCTACCTATTATTTTCGATATGTTTTCAGACAAATTAACAATTTTGAAAGCACTATCTTTAAATAAATTTGTGGAAGTATATTATACTATGTGTTTATAATTAGTCAGCTTTATCTTCTTTATTATAATTAGCAAGTTTGGGACAATGTTTAAAGAACTAACAAAAGTTTACTTAAGTTGTTTTATAACCTTTGTTGCCAAATTTATTCTAGTTGTTATTTCCGCTAAACAATAGTCTCTTCTTATCATATTTATTTCATGAACACAACTATTGTAATCATCAATTACAAGCATACTTCTTTATATATGTTACTGTTTCTTCACCTATAGAGGGAGAAAGCTCCAACTATAACAGTCTTGAGTTTTGGTAACAACTTGGAACTAACGTCTAAACCTTTTGCTTTTTTTGTGATCTACACTGTACAGCTTTACAGCTTACCATATAGTATGCGTAATAGTATGCGTAATGGCGTTATAATGAGTCTAAATGAATCTTATAAAATCAAAATCGAATACTAAATAATGCTCTACCTGGCATTAATTAAATGTTAACTCAGAGTTAGCGTCGAGATAAATGAAATATGAGGCTTATAAAATATTAAGCGAACATTTAATCTACATATAGCATCACCTTAACCGTTTTCTAAAGTTCTATTACCTTCACATTAGCTTCAAGCAAACAATAATGGTTTTTTAATTCAATACATTTAATGAATAACTAACGTTATCAAACCGTGATTCTATGCTAATCGGCAGAACGCATGCTATTAATATCATTAATATAATTGGTTTGGCGTCACGTTAATTTAAATGTTATCTACATATAACTATTACCCAACATCAATCGTCGGATTGCGTCCTGTCAACATGGCAAGTTTTTACAATCGTGAATTAATGAATACGTTAAAAATAAATTGATTCGAAACCTGTCCGCTCGAAATTCGTAAATATTGATGAAAATCGCTAAACATTGAAGGTAGGAATTCACCTATTCAAGACATTTTAGAGATTATTAATTGTTGATTTAAAATAATCTTCAAATAAAAGAGTGGAGGTTTTCTTTATCGACCTCAAACATCAGAACCACAAAATTTTAACTGTCCACGAAAATACATTGATGAAAAAGATACGAGTTAGCAAAAGTACATATTTTGCTTGAAAAGGCTGTGTAGCAAATTCTATGGCTTGAATCTTATTAGCATCGAATATTACTTCATAAAATCCGAATCCATAAAAATGATAGTTGAAAGAGATTATTACTTTGTCACCATCAATAAAAATCGAGGAAAATGAAAAACCAAGAACATTGCTTATACATTTTAAGTATAAGCTTGTAGAGATAAGATAACACACAGCAAAATAAACATTTAGAGCATTCAGATATACTTCCATTCATATACAAAACCCAAAAACAATCAAATAGTTAATGAAAGTATTCATGAAAGGGTTTCAAATTAATTTTCGTTCTGCTTCTAGAAAAGCAGACATTTTAGATGGGTCGAATGGCAAAATAACTTAAATAGATGGTAAAATACAAACATTTTCTATTTCTAAATTGTACACAACCGTTTCCACTTATAGATGAAAATCTAGTTTCAAATGAGAAAGACCAAATATAAAGAAAATTATGTTAAGTGTATTTCAGCATAAAAATTTCGGAGAAAATGACGCTAAAATGTAAAACAATACAAAAGGCCTAATAATGTACTTGACTAATGTTTATACCTTCCGTGATGGAGTAGAAATTGTAACAACAACATTCTTTTACATTTAGTTTCCTTAAATACCTTAAAAAAATTTCAATATATGTTGCGTTTGTGTTTGGAGTTTGCTCCAAACACTTCCCACAAAGCTTACTAGAGACAGAGAAAATTAACTTAAGAACGGAAAAACATTTGCAAATGAACATTTGTTTAGTATTGATCCTAAATAATTTCCTATCTATGTTCTTTCTTTGAGGAGTCTTAATACCAAACACAAATTGTGTATAAAATTCTCTGGAAAAATTTCCAACAGTAATTTAGATTCCGTTGACCACAACGACAATACTGTTGGCATAAGCTTATGAGCAACTGATTGTGAGAGGAATTACACTTAACATGGTGATGGAGAGACTGGCAAAATGCCAAAAGCCCCAGATTAAGCCTCGAATTTAGTTATAGATGATTAGTGGAACTCCAACGATTTAAAGCATTTAGAAGATGACCAATTACACGTGTAAAGTTGTGTCATTCCAAGACTGTATAATTCTGTGCATAAATATTCAAATACATAAACATTTTAAAAAAACATATAATATAGTAATATATCATAAACAATGTAGAAATGCCAAACATCTTTAGAAAATACTAGTAGAAATTAGATTTTTAATAAATTTTTATAAATCCAAAGTTTATTTCAAATACGTGCTTGAATTTTTGATTCTATCCTCATCTTTAAATAAGGAATAAAACAATAAAAATATTTTGTCCTTGACGTTTGTAGAATCACAATAATAACCATATAATAATAAGTCTTTCGTCAACGCATCTTGCAACGATCTACACTTATAAATACACGAGAATCGCATAAACAAGCAAAGTTATTCTAAGGTCTTACATGAGGTCATCGCGCACGCACTCTTTGACTTTGTTTTAGGTTATTTTAGGTGATGCCGTAACAGAAATCCTCGCTTCCGTTACGCAGCAATTAGTTGTGCATTTAGACCTTTATAACTCGATGACGTCTCAAGGTAAAACTTTAACCCCGAGTTGCAGTTCACTTGTGAATAAACGTCCTTGAATAAAAGTAGTGAATTAAAATGCTGTTTTATAAACAATTTTCCTTACTTCGACGATTAACTCAGAATAACATGATGAATATAATCGGTTTTCATGTTTCTTATAATTTGAGTTAACTGGGTAACAAAATCGCATGCGTTCCATGTTTTGTGTTGTGAAATCGGACCGTAACCATATGGTTGTGGTTTCATTTAACGGAAAATTGTTGATTCACCCAAGAATGACGTTAAACGAAACATAAAACAGAGCGTTTATAATTAAGAATTTAAACTTAGAAGTACAGTCTTAACTTTGGTATCAAAAGAACCTTGGTATCAAATACAAATTTTATCGGAATTTTTTATATTTGCGTGCGTCAAACCGATTTATTTACATTTTAGGTCACTCAACCAGTGATGGACGATAAGACCGTTGCACGATGAGAAATATTGGAGGCACGAGTTATACTTTAACTCCAACCTAATGTTTATTTATACCGATCTAATCCAATCGTGGTAATAGGTGCTGACCAGATGGTTGAGACATACACATTATAAAATGCAAATCATTTGATATAAACTTTCAAACAAAAAAATAAGCAACATAATTAAACGATTAAAATGTTAGTAAATGTAAAAAAGGCATGAAATTAGTGCCATCACAAGTGCATAGCGAAATTAAAAATTACCAATTCTACCATAAGGAAGTCATCATTGGTCGATCTCGTTGTTATTTCAGGATCCCTCTTTTCCTCCGTCGATCTTTTCTTTTCTTCTTCAGCATTTCCATTGTTAGATTCGTTTTTGGCGATTTCGGCTGCAGCCGCTGCTGTTGCAATCTTTTTCTCCTTTTCTTTTTCCGCCTCTTTCTTCGCCTTAGTTCTTCTTTTCTTATCATTTATTTTCATCCTCGCAAATTGAATGTCCGGAATATAATTACTTGGATCCAAGATGTTTTTGATAATCGAAGGATCCGCGAATGCACCGATTTTAATTGGGTGCTCGCCTAACGAAGCTGAATCTTCCCTGCAATAAGAATAAATAAAGTAATTAACAAATAAATGAAGGAATTAAAAGAACGTCTTAAGAATTACTTTCACGGAATATGCATGAATACTTTTGTTTCCGATAGGATAGTTTTGAAATCCCATTTGCAATCTCTATTTCATCACGGTAAATTCCTTTGTAAAATCGTTCAAAGAACGGCCCAGACATCGTTAATAAGGTTGATGTAAGTCATGACGAAGCATCACGACCTCTTTAAGTAACTTAAATCGTTTCATAAATAAATATTTGACTCATATGGGACATATGTTACGCATACAGGAATTTTCCGATAAACTATTATGGTTAAAAAAAACTATTAAATATAATAATCTAATCTTTTTATCCGAATTTTATAATCAAGTTCTTAGAACTTATACAACAACATCTTCTTTGATTCAAAAATTAAACAATGAACCGTTGAAAAGCAAAGATGAAAGTTAGATTTTAAAGACGGTCGTGCCATCAACTCCATGGCGCAACGATTTAGCACTTCAATAAAACGCTTTTATAGACGAAGATTGGTTAGATTTTTATTTAGAGACAAAATCAATTAACGTAGCTTATCTGTAAAATAGGTTAAAAGGTGGTATTAGTTTTTAGTCTCATGGTAGATAAAAAAACATTGGATTATCTAAGCCACTGACCTAATACATTTTAAATTATAGTTTTATTCAAGGTTGAAGTCGCACCAGTAATAATTATTTAAATTCTTAAGGACATCAGATCGTGTCATCGTCTTACTACACCTGGTAAGCTTAAATTAAGAAGTTATAGAGGTGAAAAGGTTGTTGATCTTACTACATTATACAATTTTATACAGTTTTTTTTGTTACTTTCGGGTTTATTTAAATAATTCAATTAGAGGGAAACATTTTTATAATAAACGTTTAAAGTTTTGCACTGTTGGTTGTTATCTACGCTATCTTTTTTATAAAGACTACAATTCGAGATAAACTTCATAAAATATAAACATCATGATGTATTTTAACATATTTTTTGTGGTCTTTAGGAACCTTGAAATTGATTGCTGTGAAATGAATGACCTTTTAAAATAGAAAAAGTTGCAGTGCGAATTTTGTAACTTGACCTACCATATCTAGAATTAATCAATGATCTTGGTTGTTATCTTATAATTTGAAGCTTAATTTTTTAATACGTTTGATATCATTTTTCAATGTCAGATTAAACATCTAAATTAAATTTCTAAAAATTATTGTTTCTTAAGTATTCAATTCATAAATTGTGCACTTAGTTTTATAACTAGTTTCGATAAAACTAAAAGGTTTCAGTAAGAAAAGTAACTTTCTTGTAGGTAACTTTAAACCGCATATTTATAAGGCAGCACAGAGCACACAGCTTGAAGGTTTAGATATGTTATCAAATTATTTATTTTATAGAGAGACATTCTACAGAAGCTCACAATCATTGACAAAGATTTTATGTCACATTCTGTTTAAACGTTATATTGAATAAGGTTAAATAACCTTATTCAATATGAGCGGAGATCGTCTTGATAACTGGAGATATAGTTCCGGTAGAACAGGTGTAGTTTCGGACAGAAATGTACATTGTAAAGTGATGAAGACAATCACAATGTACATATTGCTGAACGCTATAAATGAGCTCCTTCTAGGAAGCGAGATTATCAGTAAATTTCTACATCCTCTCCTCACAAAACAATGAACTCTATGTATAAGAAGTTTATTACCAAAACGCAATAAGTTCAACTTTGGATTGTTCTATAACTCAGATAATACTAATTTAAGAAATAAAAGACTCTCAGCATTTTTAATAAAGTAATGGTTTAATTATTGTGGGATAGAAAATAAATTCTAAATTATTTTACTTTCCAAAATGTCATAAAAAATTGTGTATTAATTTTGGTGAAAACTCGATAAACAGGAAGTGTGCATTAAAAGTAGAACACAGGAAACAATTGAAACCACAAAAATAGTATCAGTACGTGTTTTACATAACTCTAACCATAAAAAAAAGAAAGAATTTTATGTTGACTTATTTGTAACATTAAAACTAAAGAAGAACAAATAGCATCCGAGGAAATTAAAGAACAATTGAACCGCTTATTTATCAACAAAACGTTTCTAGAAATTATTTCATAGACTTTCTATCCCGTTATTTTTTAAAACCACATTCCTCCCTTCGTTTCCAATTGATATATTGCGTTAAATAAAAAAAAAAAGCACAGTGTAGCATTTCATTTAATATGGTCATTATATAGTTTTTCTTTTCTCTACAATGACCAGTTTTATCTGTATCTCTCTTAAAATGGCCGAGATTGTAATTATATGCGGATGTTTCTGTGATTCGCGATATTACTTTAATTACATCTATTACAGCAAAAACGATTCTTGCAAAAAAGTTTGACCTATATCCATTAATGACTAAGCTGTAAGACATCAAAGAATATGCAAGTTACGAAAAGAATTATTATATATTGGAATCGACCAGAAAATCCGAACTTTGGAAGTTTCATAGATCTCGACGTTTTGATTCTGAACCGTATTAATTCCTTGATTTCACTAACCAACTTTGCATATGTTTAATTAAAGGAAATGTTTGAAGTTATTACTGTTATAAATGAGTTATATTATTATAAGGATCCCCATTTCTTATGATAACATTGTACTATATTCCAAATCTAAAGTGCATACCGCATTGATAATGATCAAACTCGCGGCGTATAGAGGTATTCCAAGCAGTAAGAGAGGTTATTGAGAAACACCACAATAATTTATGTTAAGATAAAAGCACAACATTTTTAACTAATTTTATAAGTCGTGTCTACTTTTATCGTTAGTTTTTGCCAAGTTAGGAATTTTTGAAATATCACTTTTCGCACACTTAGAATGAAATTTAGTGTTTAGTGTTGAATGATTTACGTATAAACAGCGAATTAATACATGCTTATCCGTTAGTGTTCTACTTCTGTACTAAGAAGTAGAGATATGTTCATATATCAAAATGTCAACACATCGTAGTATATTTAAGTTTACTTCAATTTATTTTAATGGTCTGAATTTAATTTTATTGGCTTATTTTGCAGGGAAAACGTTTGTGAATAGGAAAGTGAAAGAAGAAATTCTATCCGATCAGCCATCGTTTTCTATACATCTTCAAAAATCTTTTTATTGGCTATTTCAATTGAAAAAAATTGTTATTTTTAGGTGATTTCATGCAAAACATTTTTTTTATATCTACACAAATATTTATAAGAAAATATTTCAAAACAGCGTAAGTTTACACAATCACGCATAACCTCGCGACTGCGCTGATAGTATTAAAAAAATGTGTGGAAAGTCTTATCTTTAATGGTTTATATCTTAGCCGGTTATAGTTTAAAGCCAAATAAATTGTCATTTTAAATTGCCACAAGTCACTCAAATGCGTTGTTGACAGAGATAGTTTTTCTGTATTCCTGGCAAAAATATACTAAACAGAATACTAAAGTTCGATTTTCAAAGGCATCTTGTGTTTAACTTCAAAACATGGTACAATCAGCAGTTCACTAATTGTAAGAGAAAATGTTCAGAAAATAATCGTGACAGTGTGATCGATTTAATGTCAAAAACGGGCAACGATGGATTTTCAATATCTTAAAATATTAACAATTTGTTGCAAACAATATAAATTGCAATACAAACTGCTAAAAGCTGGAATGTCTCTATTATCAACTAGTAGGTGATTTCGCCCAACGTTGAAGAAGAAAAAACTGATCAACCTAAGCCTGTATATCATATACATAGAAGAATACTCTTGAACAATATATATTTGCACGGCGCAAAAAAAAACACTTAAAAAGTCTGTTCTTCGCACAGACTTTAAAACCGTATATGATGATACATAAGAAATACCACAATGGAATTGAAAATTTAAATTTGATATTGCAAGAAGAACGAAAAATTGAAAATTCAAAGAAGACACAGCGATTTGACAGCGTTTCTATCTTTTTACCTAGTAGAAATGGGTTTTAGCGCGGTTGCCAAAAAGGTCAGTTGCAAATTATTAAACGTGAAAATTAAAGCTGATTTCTTAATGAACTTAAAGTCAAATAACATATAAAAAAAAAAAATAAATTTTTCGTTTTCTACAATTGCATACTTATTCACAAAACCCAATTGACGTTAATAGGTTTAGAAAATTGCGGTATTATGTTTCAGAACTACGGAAAACAAAAAGGTGAAAGTGGTGTATGGAGCAGAATTATTTGGAAATCAATGATTTAAATCGTTCGAATACTCAGAATTGTTTTCCAGATGAATGCAATACCCCAGGAACTTGCGTATTAACCGAAAGGAAAAGAGAGAACAATTTAACACGGAAGCTTGAATTTCAATATTATGAAATATTCGAAAATTTCCTATTATTATTTAGTTTAAATCTTTTATTCAATAGTTGGATTATGAGTCCTTCTAAAAATATAACCGAGGGTGCAGCGGGGTGATATTTTATAGAGTTTGTTATCTAGCTCCAAGATTGAGGTGTAATAGAAGAACTACTATGTGCTTAATAAGCTGGTTATAAATTACCCGCAGCATTTTTTATTTGGCTTTTCTGAAATCATTTAAAATGCAAGCTTGGTTGTAAGTCTTTGCTTCATTTCGACTTCTTAATATCTTTGTTTTTTTGTTTCTATCTGCTATCTTCAGTATTTTGGTTTCACTCATTTTCTCTCTTTCATTTTGTCTCTGTATCTTGTATCTCACAAGTTCCTGGATGGTCTCTACGTGGTGTCTGGTTGTTAATCTCCTATTTTCTTCTTTGTGTCTTACGCCTGTCTTTCTTCTCCAATTGGCTTCTTCTAACTTCGTGCAGCTTTCCATGTTCCTGCCTCTTTATCCTCTATATGGCGACATTTATTTTCAGATATCTCCCAGATTTTGATATCAAAAGTCCATGCTGAGGCATAGTTTCAAACTTCTTACTTTTCCATTTTTTGTTTTATCTGTGTTCTACGGTGC